CACACACACACACACACACACACACACACACACCACACACACACACACACACACACACACACACACACACACACACACACACACACACACACACACACACACACACACACACACACACACACACACACACACACACACACACACACACACACACACACACACACACACACACACACACACTGCAGCATCATGAACGCTGCAGCTTAGTAGTGTGCGTGTGCAGTACTCAGGACAAGCCTATTACTACTTGACATGCAAATCTCTTTTCTGACCTGTCTGTCAGTCTGTCTGTCCTCGTCTCGCTCTCGCAACCCCTCCAAATAATCTCTCTGCCTCTCTCCTCACTAACTAACTGTTCCCTTCTCCTGCCTGCTCACTTTCCCTTTTACTCTAGTACATTCACATTTCATTCTGATTTTCTATGCCCCTTTCTCTCTCTCCAGTACAATGGTCTTCCCATTTTTACACGCTTCCTAGCTCCTGCAGCTGCAACTGTGTCGTGTGTGTGTGTGTGTTTTGCACGTTTGAGAGTGTAACTGTGGTTGAGCCAAACCCACTAAACAAGCAAAAAGAGGGACATTAAAACATAACATCCCAAAAAAGGTTGTGTGTGCCTTCGTGAACGTGGTAGTACGCTGTTGAGGCAGTTGTGGAAAGTGTTTACACAAATACGCAATTGCATAACTTTAGCACAGCCACTGCTCAGTCATTAAATAGGGACAAATGTGTACCTGTACGCATTTGTTTTCCCAAGTAACCAGCGTCCATTTCCTTCATTTGAACTTCTGTGTTTGAATGGTCTAATCTTGGCCTGTTGGTGTTTACACTGCTCTGACTAACAAGGTGACTGACTATAAGGTTTTGACTTGCTCTTCTCCCAGTAAATCATGTTTACACTTAGCTTGGTTTCATAATTGTTGATTCATCATTCATTTGACAAGCAGCCAAACCGTTATCTGCCCTTTCGAAAACACAAACATCTCGGTTGCTATCGGGTATGGGTTTCTAGGCCCATTTAAGAAAAAGGAGCAGAAGCTGAAAATATAGTTTTTGTACTCTTTATGTTACTTAAAGGTCACCTATTATGCAAAATCTTCTTTTTCATGTCTTTTATACATAAACATGTGTCCCCTCTGTGTAAAGAGATTATCTCTCTTTCTGTCATGATCCATTTATATAAAAACCTGTCTGAAAATGAGCTGATCAGATTTTGGCCACTTTATGATGTTATAACGTTTTTTTGGCTTGTGTAACCATTAGCCAATCAGCAACCAAGGTCACCCCCCCCCCCCCCCCCCCCCCCCCCCACCTTATCACCTGAATCTCCCCCTAGAGCACCATGGTGTTCTTTTTAACCAAATATCTCTCAGAGGGGCGTGGGGAGGGGCTCCTTATTTTCATCTAAAGTAACAGACAGAGAATCAGCACTTTTGAAACAGAGCTGAAACAGAGGGGATTATGGGATGCTGCAATTATCTGTTTGGTATTTCTAGCCAAACCCTTCAGAGACATGTTTTGTATATATCTGAGACCTATAATATATTGATGAAAAACAGTATAATAGGGGACCTTTAACATGTACAAACTCACATTGTTTTACTGGTGCTGGTGACCTCATTCTGTAGCAGAGCTGTTTTGCTCTATTCTGTTCTGTTCTATTCTTCTCTGTCTTGCTTTGTTCAGGTTTTTACGCTGGCTGTCTCTGGACTTTTCTGTTTTGTTACGCTCGACCAGCCTAATCTAACGCTAGTTTGCCTCCGTATATTGTGATGCATGAGTGGACACTCACTGAGCGAGCCAGGCAAACTCCCGGGTCTTTTGTATACTGTAGTTGACCTAACTATTAACCTCAGCGAACTTTGAGTTGAAGCTCTTGCACAACTTGACCCACTGGCAAGGTGCATGATGCAGGGAGAGAATCCTGGACTTAAATAAATGTGTATCAATACAACAGATGTCGTGTCCATGTTGGAAAAAGTGAAACCTGAAGTTTGTTTGTATTTATGTGTCAGAGTGCCCCAAACTATCGGCTTTCATGTCAGTGTGTCCTGTAGTGTTGCATGCTTTCCTTGCAATCTAGCTTTACAGAATATTCTATATTGTTATAAGTGAACACTGACATGATAATTTGTATAAATTGTACATAACATCAACGTACATGTGAGTGAGTTTACATCCAGCAATTCAAATGGAAATTGGATAACATTTTTAAATGTTACTTGGACGTACAAATCGAAGGTACAATCAATTCAATATTTATCCATTCTAACGCCAAGTATATCTTAAGAATGTAGGATTATATTGTGAAATCCACATTTGAGTAGCATTTGGATACAATCCCTCAGTACTCAGAGGTAACCGACTTGTTTACATGCTTTAAAATCTAATCTCCTTGATACCGGCTCACATAAAATCATTACTTGGCAGTCGATGAACTCTACCTCTCTTTCCCTCACAGTCAAATATACACAGATAAGAGAGGTCATTTCTGCACAAGGAAGGAGGTTGTTTTTGCCATTGGTGCTTTGAACGCACGTATTGCCGGTCTCTTCTGTAAGCAGCAACTGCCTTTGTCTCGTTGGTGAAACGTTGCAGTTGGCAGATTCCACACTGTATTTGTTTCTCTGCTGTTTGGGAATCTCTCCTCTCTTTTCTCTGTCTGTCGCTTTTATAAAAACTCTATTGAAAGTTGTTTTACCTGAAGTGTTATGGAAGATAGTACTTGTGGCAGTGATAGTCCCCCTTCTACTTCAGGCAGTGGTATGAGTGCTAATCTCATCAGTACATGTATTTTAGCAGTAGCTGTTAAGATATACATTACAAACCTTACATTTTAATGACAAAAACCATAAAAATGATTGTGATTTTGTGAGAAACAAAACATGCTAGCTATCAAAAATGTAGCATGTGACCCATTTAAAGTTATAATAAATGTGTGTGTGATAGTATATGATCAAGTCATATGTGAGTTTTTATATTAAAGGACATTTCTTAAGTAGACCATTTTATCCACTAACAATGAGTGCAATTAACCATGAAGATACAAATTCAGAGAAACCTACAAGTACATTGGCTTCAAATAAGCCACACCATTGGAATCTTTTAAGAAGTACATTTTTTTTAATGTCCACGTTTTATTCATTTGCGCCTATTTATCATTGTTGAATTGGTGAACATAATTGCAGTTTTTGTGATGTTTAGGAAAATTCCTAATGTCAAAGCAGAGCATTTCTACTAAAACCATACATTTTCAGGTGTTTTCCCGCATGTGTTGGCAATGCTGCCCAATGGATGATTAAGTTAGAGCCCTTGTGCTTTTCACAACCGGCACACTACATCATGAGATTCATTATAAAACTGGCTAGGATGTTTTTTATTTTACTTGATTCCTCCTCAGGGAGATCAGAGGTCAGATACATCACAGACTAACACTAGTTATCCATTGTTGTGCTCAAGGACACTTCAGCAGCTAATGTATGTTGAAGTGCGGGTTGGACTCTGAACCCTCGGACAGAAAGCCTGTGTACCAGCGCAAAAATAATAAAAGCTATGCTCTGGATTTACCAATGATAAATATAGTTCTTCTTCATATAGTTTATATTTGTTGAATATCTGACAGTCTTTTTTTTACACTCCTAGGAATGCTTAAATGTTTTGTTACAAGTTATTGATGTATGTTAAGAGGAGCAAAACGTAATATTCATGGCTTTTTCTCTGGTAAATATATACAAAATAGGATAATAAATCATGTTAAACCATGTAAACCTAGAAACATGATTTAAAATATGTCCAATACGTCCACATCATCACCATACTATTTTTGTTAGGCCATTGGCTATGACATCAGTAAATGTTTCTCAAATGACTCACTGTGGGACTTTTTACTGTACAACTAAATGAACTAATAAAGGTCTCTGCCACATGACAATAATCACAGAGTAAAAATAAAATTGAGTCAGTCAACAACGTAGACATCCCAAGAAGTCAGAACCAACAGCTGGCCATTTGTACAAAACTTTTTTAAACTTAATGATAAGATATATGGCAACTTAACTGGCTTTATAATAGGCCAGTGTTAGAAACTTTAATATTGTAATATGAATTCTTGTTTTTTAAATCATGCAACGTAACACACATTTTGATGTTTAAGTAACATTGCAATATCATTTTTGAGTTGATCCTAGAATAATTTCTGAAACAAAAGTACATTGCAATGGTTTCACTTCAGATAATTATTTTTAATATCGACTATACACTAGGTCTGTATCTAATTAAACAATTAACTGTGGGTAATCCAGTATTTCAGACTCAATATGTTTACATTTAACTACTTTAAAATTAATAAAAGAATACGTTTACCAGTCTCCTCATTGTATTCATGGCAGTTTAAAATGTTAATCATCAGGTTATGAATTAATTTGTACAGCAAGTATAATAAAAAATTATCGGAATAATTTAGGACATTTTGTACTTTTTGATTAGTTTCTTGATATGAGGGTTTTAGGGCCCTAATTTTATTAAAAAAAAAGACCTTGGAAGAGTATATCTAAAATGTGCCAGTCAGATACCTATCCTGTATAATGGAAGATGATTTATGGTTATCATATTTTGTTCGCATAGCTTATCCCTTGTTTAAAAAAAAAACTGATGGAATACTTAAATGTTAAATTAAAAATAATAACATAAATAAAATACGTTTAAGTGTTTATGGTTTTAGGTGTGATGCATTATGATAACATTTCTAATTGGTTAATCAATTTGAAGGGACTTGAAAGAAATTTCCCTGTAAGGGATTAATAAAGTGTATCTTCTTCTTCTTCTTCTTCTAACTGCTTACCTTAAACATTGCTGACATGGTTGGCTTTACACACTTTTACTCTTCTGTCGATACCATTTACCTACCTTCTGCTGTGTTTGGTTTTCTCAGTCAGAGGAAGTGGTGAGTGTGTTTCCTGCTCCCCCCTCCAGAATCAGTCAGAGAGCTGAATGCAGCGAGAGAGAGAGAGAGAGAGCGAGAGAGAGAGAGAGAGAGAGAGGAGGGGAAAGCAGAGCTCAAGCGAAAGAAGGTTAGCCAGCAGCGAGTTAAGAAAATGGCGATCATGCAGGACGAATGCCTCCCCTCGTAGATGCTGCAAAAAGCGTTGAAATTCTTTTAGCCTTACAGCCGGCTTTTCTTTCCACTCGGTTGCACTTTATACTTCAATGAGGTAAGGTTCTTTTGACGGTGTTTCCTTGACCAGACGACCTCATTTTTCTTTGTGGCGAGCAAATGTACGCAGAGTGCCCTGAGCAGGGAGACCGGGGACTGGTGGTTGATCTGCCGCTGTTGTTTGGTTAGCCATGACTGGGCTAAGCTACATAGCTAGCCTCCTGTGCAGTTAGAATAGCTGGCCTCCTGTTCGGGTTGCATTGCAGTTTGGAAGCGTATATGGTAGGCACATCCGCTGATACGCCAGGATAAGTGTTTGTTTGCCTGTCGTCTGGGACAAATAGACCGTTGTATTTGTGGGCAGGTTAGCTTCATGCTAATGCTAACTAGTACGAGCGTTGGTTAACCTTAGCTCGCCGGTTGTGCGTACATATCTGTCGAAGAGAGAACATATGTATTTCGTTCGACACTAACGTGTCTACGAATGGGTTCATAAGTAACCTAATATTGTTTATGGATTTAATGTAACATTGCGTTTATTAGAATATCATAATTGCGCTACATTGGGGGGGAAAGGGTACGTTAACTAGCCGCTTCGTATCGTTAGCTCTTGTAGCTAGCATTAGCAGTCATGCTAATTTGACGACGCAGGTTGCCCGTTGGTGAAAGTGACGGATTTAACCGCTGTTTGGTGACTTGCATACGAGGCACCGTTACTCAAATATCACAATACATTTAACAGTTGGCGGTAAATGATATAATTAAATACAATTTGTGATACAATTGTAAAGCTGCAGAGTTGTGTTTCGTGTTTAACACCCTCTATCGGCAGAAACACAGAGCAGCTGGTTAGTCAACACCAGACCTCCGCTCTGCTAGTTTTGCAGTCACCTAACTTTTTACACCAGCTTGACGACGTTGCAAAAACAACTAAAGCACTTATTTAATTATTTAATTGCATCGACTGTAATTAGATGCCATGTTGATGCATTGTTGGTCTTGGCTGCGCTGGAAAAACACCAGCTCGAGAGAAGCCATGTTGGTTAAGCTGCAAGTCAGGCAACAGCTGAGATAATGGCCGATCAGCACCCGAGCTGGTAACTCTGACCCACAAACACTCACTTTATCTGTAATTTTCATCAGAGGTGGAAGAAGTACTCGGATTATGAAGTAAAAGTAGCAATGCTGCAGTGTAAAAAGGCTCAGGTACAAGTCCTGTATTCAAAATTGTACTGAAGTAAAAGTATTAGCATACAAATTACTTTAAAGTAAAAGTATGCGTTATGCAAAATGGCCATTTCAAGCACCATAACATTTACATTATATTATATTGTTTTATTTGAATTACTTTATACTCTACTGGGTAGCTTAACCTATAATAACAATAATGTGTTGATTTATATTTTGTATCGATAACCTAGGAACTAAATATGTAAAATAAATGTAGTGGAGTAACAGGTACAATATTTGCCTAGAAAATGTAGTGAAGTAAAAGTATAAAGTAGCATAATGTAAAAACACTCAAGTAAAGTACAAGTGCATACATTTTTTACTTAAGTACAGTATTTGCATAAATGTACTTTGTTACATTTCACCACTGAAATTCCTACACACACAATATTCACCTTGTGGAGCCTGAGCTAAAGGGGACTTTGTTGTGCATTACTCTGTTATGCAGTTCAACCTGCATTTCCACATCAACAAGTTGAAATACTTTGAATACAGTACTGACGAGTCTCTGTTTGTGTATACTTGTCCTTGCATATACTTTGTGGGTGAGGTGCATGCCTTTTGACCGGTGCCCCATCAATAATTAATCTGTGACATTTTAATAGAGTCCAGTTTACTATGCCAGGTTTAGCATCTGTTTGGGTAGATGCTAAAATGATATGTAGTAGTTTTTATTTTTTTACAACGTGTTGTTTAATCACAGTACACCAATACAAGTGTGAGGCACCCACATGCAAACTATCTTTTATTTGTTAATGTGTGTGTGTTCAGGTAAATCTTGATTTATCGCTGAAAGATTAACCTTCAAATCTTTGTCTTTCAGAGATTCGGAATTGAAAGCTGTTGCCACCAAAGAAGCTAAAGCATCGTTACAGGTGAGTGTCAATCTTCACATTGATGTGTTCATTTATTTATATCACCTTTTGGAGCAGCTTTGCTTTATATGATAGCATGCTCTCTGTGTGTTGGGATACTAAAGGTGTGTGTGTGTGCGTGCGTGTTTGTGAGGGGGACAGGGGATGGGCAGCTGCTGCTTATGCAAGCACATGCAGTTCCGTTTGAATTGAATTGGAGGGTCTGGGTTGGTCTAGGCCGCATTGTGCTGAGTAAGCTTTGCTGTTTTAAAATTGCTAAATGAGAAGCCGGAGTCCTGATGTTTTGTGTGCGGAGAGGTGTTTGTGCAGCTCTTTGTGTCCATACAGTTGTAGGCACACAATAGAGCCGTGGACCACAACTAGTTCAGCAACCCGCTTCAGGGGCTGCGTCTAATCTGTTTTTAGATCCTGAATCTGTTTATATTCTATAGAGTTTTTACATTTGTGTACCTAAGAGCAAGTGCAACAACTCACCTTCCTTACCTCTCCAAAAGTGTATGTTGTTGTTGTTGTCGGCATTCAGGATGTTGTCCAAAGAAGAACGGTTAATATGTCAACGGTTTTGTTTTTAATGTTGGTTTAGTCCAGTTCCTGGTACGTCATCTGCAATGTATTTGTTGTGGTTCATGGTGAGGGAATTGCTTTGTAAGGTTTTTTTAGTAGGCTCATATTTTCGGATGTGGTTTTTGTTCACAATTCAAGTTTTAATATGCGGTTCTACTGCATTTTCTGACTGACAGTGTTACATTATTTAACGTTTAATAAATAATTTATAAAACAAAATCACTTTCGTTTCTAACATTTCTAAGTTTCCCGCAATCAAACACTTTTTCCAATAGCAGTTTATTATACACCCCAAATCTCGACGGAAACTCTCAGTTTTGTTCCATAAATAACCGGCTGCCGTTTCAATTTTTAGCTTTTGGAAAGTGGTTTCACTTTCATGTTTGCAAGTCGTCCTGTTCCAAAGTTTAAAACTGAATAACTGTGACGTATTCAGAAGCCCTAAAGGTATACATAAGCAAAGCTCAACTGTGAGTCAGTTTCGTGACACAGACTCACCATCTAGCTTGCTCACAGATATTATTATTATATCCCAGTTTATTGCTTGAGGTCAATTAGTAATCATAACACAATGAAAAAGTTATGTCATTTGTTTGAGACCACTGTTATTTCCTTTCTAGTTTGAAAGCGATGTGCTGTGAGGCTTCCCTTTCACTTTGGCTCTCCAAATTACCGCCTGCTCGCCATGTTTTCATTCTTGCCTAAAAATATCACAACTGGTTTATGTCACGCTGAAAGCTAAAGCAATGTATAAAATGACTGCTGAAATAGCCGACTTGAGATGGTCGTGTTTTGATTTTAATACTGCAGTGCTATAAATTCCTGAGGCGTTGCAACATTGCTACTTTGGTTGGAGATCAGGTAGTTGACCTTTGCCCCTCGGATCAGTAAAGCCACACCTGCAGAGGGTCATGAGACTGTAACAGGCGGCTGAACAGGAGTGTTTGTAACTGTTGACTTTTGCAGGCTCAGACAAGATATAGTACTCCCAAAATGTAGTTTAGCAAGCCTTTACTGAAGATGATGGTAAATGGTGGGTTTGGCTTTGGGGATTGAGTCTATCAGATTCAGGAACAGACAACTTTATTTATTCTGGGGCAATTGGGTTCAAGACGGTCACACCATTTAAGAATAAAATAAGATAGAATACACTATTCTTTTTTTAATTAAGACGTTTTAATAAGACTGTTAATATATGTATATAAACATAATTTGACTTCAATTTCAGTTTTATAATTTTGTATTTAAGCTCTAAAATATTCTGAACAGTTTGTTATTATAGTATATACACTTTATGCAGTCACCTACTTTAAAATTAACTTTATATTTTCCTCCATTATAAACTGCCTGCTTACATTTCTAAATTCTCTTTATACAATTTTCAACCAAGTAACCTTCACTCCATTTAAAAGTTTTATTTTCTTATGTATTCTTTTCACAACTTGCTTAACCGTCCTTTGCTAGCAGCCACATTTAAAAGGTGTTTTTTTTAAAGCCAGAAATATCATTTTGTCTTTCTTGAGTTACCATGAGTGAGTATGAATGCAGCCAGGCTGGAAATGTCACACATTGCAACGTGAGCCTCGCAAAGCTCTCGCTGTTGGGCTGTTTAAGATGTGAGAGACTTATTGTCATTCACTAATTGACTGATGGTTTTCCTGAACCGAGCCTCTGGAGTTCAGCCTCTGGAGTTCAGCCTCCGTGAGAACATGCTCATTCAAATGAATGCTAATGATGTGGTGATATAAATATAAATTAGCCACGCGACTACCCTCTGGCTTTTGTTTTGCCGGAACAGACGAACTCCTGTGAGTGTTTTTGTGGATGCACATGTCCATCGGTGTGTGTGTTTATGTCTGGGGTGTCTGAAAACGACTGCCTCCAAAAGGCTACGAATGCAATCAATACACCGTCTCTTGCTGGCTTCACTGCATGACTCACTTCAGGGAGTTCAAAACACTCCCACAGGGTCTCAGCATGCAGGAGTCTAAAGCTTCAGATTGTTGATCTCTACCTCTTCACAAACCCAAATATAGTTTGATTATTTTTTTAGTCTTTCAGCTTTATCTGACAGCCCTCGGAAAAAAAGGTTCACAGGAGAGGCAAGTGGGTGGCAGCAAAATCTGTGCTACATTGAATCTCACAAGCCATTGGAAAGAAGTAGCTTTTACTGAATGTAGCCGACACTCTAAAGCAGGGGTCTCCAACACGTCGATCGCGGGCTACCGGTAGCTCGCCAAGCAAATCCAAAATGTAAAAAATACACCAAAAATAAAGGAAATGTAATTAAAAGAATCTACCCTATGCATAAACGAAACCTCAATCATAGCGAACTCTATCTACTTACTACAACTCTATATCTATCTAACACCCCTCCTCCCCCCACCCCCCACAATGAATATCGACCAATCACGTTCTTGCTTGATTTGCGGGACCAGCGTTGCAGTCTGGAAGAAAAGCAATGTGGAGCGGCAGCTCACCGCTTCATAAGGACTTTAACCTTTCCTTCTGGCAGAATCTCCACAACACATCAGCCCCATTGAACACAGCCTAGTCATGCCAGCCTATACAACACATGAGGGGCAGAGTTTTACTGTGTGTGTGTTGCAACTTGCATATTTATTGCACTTGACGCACACACACGCATGGCGTAATTTCCACTGGGGACAGTCCCCCCCACTTTTCAAAATCCCGTTTGTGTCCCCCCACTTTACAAATATGTTTATTTATTTATTTTAACGCAATCCGTCATCGCCACGGAGGAGCACACAGTCTCTGTGAGCGAGAGAGACAGCACACCTTTATCTATTTAATATAGTTGTAAGAAATCATTCCAATGTGTACTATATTGTATTTAAAAGGGGAGTGATTAGTAAAATATGCATAAATAGAAAGAAAAAATGCTAACTAGGTAACATAAGAATAAACAAGTTTAAATGATTTGTTATTGGTTGTGATCATATTCTAAAGATGTTTTGGATTATTGAAAAGTATACAGCTCCATTTCATCGGAGTGTTGAGAGCTGTATCCATCAATTCATGTTGTGCTCAAAGTGCTCCAGATTGATGTATTTAACTTCAACATTTAAAAAAACATCTTCCCGGGGGAGCATGCCCCCGGACCCCCCTAGAGGACCACCCCCAAATAAAGCAGGTTAAAATAATTAAATTGCATACATTTTCTTTTAGTAAACACTGAAAACGGGTCCCGGGTGTTTATGAAAACAACATCATCTAAATAAAACGATATCAATTATTGACCCAAATAATCGAGATTATGATTTTTGCCATAATCGAGCCGCCCTACTTTAAACACAACAAAGACCATATTTAGAGATAGGATATTTTTGGAAAGCGACCTTTTACTTTTCATTGTACGTAGTGTTAAAAATGGCTGCCGTATTCCATGTTAAATTAGGTCAACACAATAAAAGTTACTTTTTAAAGATGGATTCATTGTGTCTATTGGTCAACAGTACAGTGCCATTCAAGGCAGCTACTAACACATATTTTTGTTTTATAAAATGCATGTTTCTTAATCGATTATAATGTTAAAAGTGAAAAATGTACAACCCTTATTTTCCCGCAGTTTTGTAGATGCTAAACTGACTGAATAATGTTTGTCTAACTATTTCAGAATCAGACATCCTTTTATTTGTCCAGCCACGAGGACAAATACGGCATTACAACAGCAACAGTACAGTAAAATGAGTAGACTTGCATATTTTATACAGTCTGACTGCTGTAGGAAGGAAGGACCTTGCCATTCAGTCAAACAGGGAAGGCAGTTACATTACAGGCGAGATTTACTGTCGTTTTTCATTAGCAAATATAAAAGTTTAACAACAGAAAACACATGGTTAGCTCCTTTATCATATCTCAGGTGACCGAGGTCAGGTTAAACAACAACTGAGAGTTTTATATTCCTCTTCCTTTTAGATTACCTAAAACGCTTACATAAAAAAGTATTTGGTTATATAATTCTGCTTTTATTGGCTAATATGCAATTACTGTTAGATGTTGGATAAGCCCTTTTTTTTTTCTTAGTTTCTTGTACCACCTGTCAATATAAAAACATGCAATTACCTCTTCTCTCTCTTTCTTTCCCTCCCCCTGTTCTCACTGCCTTGTTCTTCTTTATCCCTTCTTTTGCTTTTCGGTGACTCCCGGTGCCCCCCCACCTCAGTCAGCTGTAGCTGTCGGGGGATGGGCAATTGTCGGACCATTCATAAACAGATGCTGTCCGTAGAGTGTGTATGTGTGCACTCCAGGAGGGCCCCCACCATGCTCTGCTGTTGTTGTTGAACCCAGAACCATCTGCTGGAGCACTTGATGGTTGGAGGAAGGAGAGAGGAGGGGGAAGTGTGGGAACTGAGGGGGGAGGGTGGTAAGTGAAGGTGGCTGGAAAAGTAAGGATGCAACTGGATTTGCATCTATAGTTGGATCATAACGAATGAGGCAGACTGGTAAATTAACTTGTTGACCAGATCGAGTGGTGCAGAGATGCTGTAGGCGGACTCTGAAGTTTGTACCGCAAGGACTCCCAATGGGATTTTGGAATATAGAGAGGCGAAGTCCCGCCCATCTACTTCCGACCCATGGGACCTTATTTCGGAAAAGTTATGTATTGAAGTCAATGGGGAGAAAGATTATCTTTCGATCCCGTTTGAATTGTGCCACAAATTACACATATGATGTTTGTCAATCTTAAAAAATTCTTTCCATGTAAAGAAAAAGTCACAGTTTGTCGTAAAACTGTTGAAATATAAGACTATGAAAAATACGCAACTAGAAAGACTACAAATCCCAGAATCCCGGTCCTGCATGCTGGCTCTTATGAACCGACTAACTCCCCTTGTGTGTATGTACAGCTCTCAACATGCCCAGACTTGTAGTGATTTTCACCTCGTTTAATACTTTTCGCCTCATTCTGAAAGAAAGAAGTGAAATGTGCCAACGTGACGGCCGTCTTGGTGTGTGGTGCGAGACGGGAGATGTAGGTCATTGAGCGGTTTCACACAAAAAAAGTGTTACTTCACAGTTTTACGACACATTTTTATTTTTTGACTTGCAAAATTATCTTATAAATTGACAAACATCATATGTGTAATTCGTGGGACAATTCAAACGGGATCGAAAGATAATCTTTCCCTCGCCATTGACTTCAATACATACTTTTTCCGAAATAAGCTCCCATGGAGGTCCCCCGGAAGGGCAGGGGCTTCGCCTCTCTATAGCAAAAAATAAGATATTTGACAAACACATGTTTATGATACTCACAGGTTTTGTTCAGCATGATAATCTCCACATTTTAACACAATTTTACAATTACAAATAATTTCTTATTACAGGAATCCAAGCAAAAACGCGTTTAAAAATGTTCAGTATGAGTCGATGGAAATGGAAAGGCTGATCTCCTGGTTTTAGGACTCATTCTTCCGCTTATTAGCTTAGGGAATTGTAAGCCCCGATGTGTAGTTGTTTCTTTTTATTTGACTTATGCGCCTTTGACAGCAACCGCATACCTTTTTCTTTTTCAGACACCTTAGTCCTCGGCTTATCAGTGTCCCCAACTGGTTCCCAAACACTAAGCAAACCTCCATCATGTAGTAAATACGTTCACGGTCCTTTGGTTACACATGGCTTTAGCATCAGCTCTGATCACTGCTGCGCTCAGCTGTGCTGTTTGTAAGATGTATGGATTTTTTCCTAGGACGATGCATTTAGATCCACACCACTGACTGTAAGTGTCCTGTTAAGTGATTTTCAATAGTTTTTCCCCTGGCTTTATGATACATTTGCCATTAGATTTAACTGATGGTAATGAGTTGATGCATTCTACAGGGGATGCCTGCCATTTTCACATTTCCTTTTTAAAAGGATAGGAAACATCACTTTGCTAATGAAGATAATACTTGGGACATTTAAACCTTTCATTTTTAAAGCAGAATCATATATCATGATCTTGTTGTTGGCTGCTATAGCAACACTGTTTCAATATTGAATATGAGCCACTGTGCAATTATCTAACTGAACTAGATGACTACATATTTAATGGTGCAGCCGTGGTGTCCGTGTGAGCCGGTTCAGCGTCTCCGTACATCTCTCTGTTTATAGCTTAGGTAAGTGTGGTGCTGTAATCCCATTATCGGATTAGCCTGCAGCCTGCAGCTTTCTCCTGCAGGCTAAATGGCACACCCGCTGCGACCAGTGCAGATACACTTTACACCCGCCGAGGGAGAAGCCACAGTCTGATTACAAACTAATACCACACTAAATGGAGGTCATTTTTTATGGAAGCCAAAAGAGTCATATTTGTAATCTGTCAAAAGTAAAGTACAATATTTTATATATTGAGGCTAGGTGTTTTGTCACCAGGCCTTATATCAGCAAAAAGTGATACAACAAACATGCATATACGGCTCGCCTCACTTTTGGTACTCTATTCCTTTTTCCACTATTCTATTGGCTGGAGTGACGCTGCTTGAAATTGTGTGACATTGGCAACCAAACAGGAAGTGTATGGCCAAGTTTGTAGTAAATTGCAATGCTTTTGAGGTTTCTTTTCTATTTAAAAGTGCAATAAATGTGCGCAAGTTACCATGCTCATTGACTCATCAGTGGTCAGCAGTGTTTTAACGTAGTGTTGGCTCAGCTCCCTTTGAACCTGAGTTCAAATGGTATTCCAAAATAAAAGTACCAGGTGGTATTGAACTTCCCTATGGAAATCCAAAGAATAGGGAGTTAGGGAGAGCTTTGGCAAACCATGCAGTAGAAACACCAGAGACTGGAAATATAAATAGATGATTTAAGGGATTCAACCAATGTTTGTTTTTATTAGATTAGTTGTTAAATATATTTTTGGTTTAATCCGATATGAGTGATCATTGTTTTTGTGCCACTTAAATGACAAAATGTCTCTGTTTTTATAAATAAACAAATATATTACTAGATCGATCAGTCATGGTATTTCTTACCTGTTCACAGGGAACATACCCATAGAGGGAAGAACAGTGGATGGAAGAGAGAGAGAGACGGAGATTGTGACGAGGACGGAGGATAAGAAGATCAAGGACTGGTCAAAAGGTGAGAGTTCAGGGCTTCTCCGGCGCTGTGGGACCGTTTTAACGCGTGAAAGTAGATCATGTAGTTAATGTCTGGGAGGATTCGTAGTCTTATAATCCGCTCTTTTCACGACGGCAACTTCCTTTCAACTTTGTATCTAAATTGAGCAATCTGCTTCTAAAACTCAAAAGTCTGGTACTCAGTTTTCATTAGGCCCTTTTCTCTAAACACCACATGCAATTCTGCCCACGAAGCAAGGAGGGTATTAATATTGCACGTCTTCAGAACTTTCTCTTGGTAAAGATATTTTCACAACCATCCGTGCTGCAGTTTTCTGTAGAGACACATTTCTGGCAACACATGATACAAATTGGCTCAGTATAAAATAGCTCAACTCCCAAAAGACTTCCAAAAACTGCTTGGCTCAAGACTTAAACTCGTATTTTATTTATTTTGACTGCTTATTCATTGCAGCCAAGAGACCTTGACATGTTTCAAAATATTTAAATGTTTATTTTTCCAATGCTTTTTCTTCCTTGCATGGTCCTGTCTCTTGTTGTTTCTCCCTGAACTGCTTTTCTCTTACGATGCTGCTGGTGTACTTTGCCATGTGACATAATGGTGTTTTCCGTTCGATTTGTAGTTTCCACCGAGTCCGGTTTGTACTAGACTACTAATGTTACTGCTGCAAGTACTAGGGGAGTGTAGGTAGGAAGTCTGATAGCGTCTATCTCTGACCTTGAGCGTGTCTTTATGTTGCTCTCTCTCTCCCTCTCTCTCTCTCGCTTTTGTTTTTGTTTTCACTCCTCCGCCCTCGTCCTGCTGTGTCTATAGTCTCACCCTCTTACTGTATTGTTGGATTACAAACAGAGAAGTAGTTCAGAGTTTAAGTCGCAGTAGTACCAAACTGTGAACTGGCACAGACATTTATCATCGCGAAGGCTCCTCCCCCCCTCCTCATATATTGGTTACACAAGTGTTATCATTGTACCTCTGAAAGACTCAGTGTCTGTACTCAACAGTGTCTTTACTATAGCTGCAGTCTATATGCTGATTTGCTCCCAGTTGTCAGCAGCTCTTTAGCATACATACGTTTGATTATCTTTCTATTGTAGCTTTTAAAATGTGAGGTTTTTCTTTGGCTAATTATTTTTGACTGAATTTGAGACTGTGAAATGAGTTGAAATATTGGAGAGGATGATGACTTTATTAAACATTATTCACATAAACATATACAAAACAAATATTTGTTTTTTTGTTGTACAAAGTGTACCGTTTGTAGGCAAGGAGCCCAATAGTTTATTCAGATATTTTTACATATTTTTCAATGACCAAATATTACTGCGATTTGGGAATGGCACTAGTCCATATATTGCACAATCAATTTTCCAAAAAATTCATTGTGCAGCCCTATTATTAAACAAAGCATGCTCTACTCCTACAAAACGTCCTCCACTCATTGCTACACCAGCAACTAGAAAGGCACCAACCTACACTCCTATTGATAATTGATTTTAAACCTTGCCTGCCTGGTGGCAACCTGGGTGTGGGTGGACATGTGACTGTAAAGTCAAATAATAATGGAGAAACCAGGGAATGAGTCACACGCAACACCCGAAGCTTGTGCCTTTTGCGTACATGGCTCTTGGTTTGTGTTTGTTGTGTGTGTGTGGTTGCCCCTCTAAAACCCCTCCTAAAGAATCCTGGAAGAAGGTGGGCTGTATGAGAAGTGCGCTTATCTGCAGCCACACACAAATTCGAATTTGATAAAAGTTTCTCACACGCTGGGAATGTAATCTCATTGACTACATGTTTTGAAAATGATGCGATTATGTATGTTTAAATCCTTATTGATTGAAGTTGAAGCTGTTTGCTTCCAAGTTCCCTTTACGCTTAACTATTGATTCAAAAAAGGTTTTTGCATATTTCAGAGAGACACTTGGCATGTGCTTCTGTGGCTGATGTCATCCTGCTCGGACAAGCCCAGTGGAATTGGGAGTGTTTAGCAATGTTGTCATAACAACAGGGTATTCCCTTAAGAAAGCTCTTTCACTGGTTCAGTGCAGCTCACACTATATATTCTGGATGGGTTACCACAACAACTCCAACAGACTGTTTATCTTTAATATTGCACTGTTTATTTATATGGCACAGTGTTTCCAGGACAAAAGCAGCAATGTATACCCTGAAACTTGAGCATGTAGGGAATGTTTGACAATGTGCTTTTGTCGGAGCAAGAGCAGATATTTAAACGCAGTGCTATGGAGGTGGAGGAAACAATGTCCATGCATGAGAAATGTTTAATCCGGGAGCATTTGTTTAAAGGGGCCCTATTATGCTCATTTTCAGGTTTAATTTGTATTTCTTGCCTCTACTGTGACATGTCTCATGCTTTAATGTTCAAAAAGGATTTTATTTTTCTCATACAACACAATCTGCTCTGATTGGTTAGCTGGCCGGCTCTGTTGTGATTGGTCAACCGCTTAGAGATGTCCCGGCCCTTAGCCTATCACGTACAATGTGTTGGAACGCATGCCAATAGAAGCTCAAGTTCTACGTCGTGATGTCGCTATGTTGCAGAAGCAAAAATTACGTGATGTAGACAAATCACTTTTATGCAAACACTCGCTGTAAAGCCAATCTGTATCATGACCTCTGTATGTGTGAGCTTTTTATACTCTTATACAGCCCACTCTTTCATTTCAACGGTTTGTTGCTGAGAGCCTCGTGTGTTTTACCAGCATGCAAATGGTGTTAAATACGTCATCTTTTGGCAACAAAGCACCATGCTTCAAATAGATTTTGCAGTTGCATGGCAACAGAAGGACATGAGGAAAATGCCGTCAGCTTAAAGCAATGTTCAGTAGACGGGAGGTTGTTTTTTGGATGTCAGGTCAAACAGCTTTTTTTGGCATGCATTGTTTGTCCATTAGCTCACCCTCACTGTGTATGTAGGTAAGTGTTTGGCGTCACTTTCTAAACAATACAGATCAGGCAAAACAAGCTACCTATGAACTCAAACATATCTCGATTTGAATCCAACCTAAAATAGTTTGTATCTTTTTGAATTTTCTTAGTCAACCTGCTTTTTAGTGGTACAGAAAGTTCCCTCAGTACTAAAGTATTTAAAATAGCTAGACAAAACCTACAAAACACCTATTTTCTTTGGTTTTCATCAGCCTTTCATATCAATTCAGATAATCAATTCAGATTGTTTAGATCCACCTCTGTTATACTCCTACTCTCTAGGTCAGTTTATGTAACAGGTGAGGTGGAAAACAAGGCCAAAAACGTTTTTATCGGTTCATTCTATGGATCATTTCTGCTCTCCAGCTCATAGGCCACTTTGCATCTTCAGTTTCTGCCTGTTACACGGAGCACACATTCTACTGGGTTCATGTGCTGCTGCTGACTGCAGGAAGTTGACCTCTTTCCTTTTTATACATGTTAGAAGCTGCAGCTGCATTCCTCACATCAACCTCAGTGACAGGCTCTTTCTCTCCTCGTCCCTCCTTTTTTCACATTCCTCTCTTCTCTCCTCACATTTACATTTGTAGCTTTTTTGCGATTAGCTTATTCACATTTCCTCTTTCTCTCTCCCCCTTTAGACGCACTCTGTGTTTATGTCATGTCCCCGTATTCCCTCTCCTCCCCCCTCCCCTCCTCTCTCAACCCGCTCTGTCTGTAAGATGATAGCAGCAGTCGGGCCGCTGCCAACTCCAGGGGCCCTCACGAAAGCTGTTCTCAGATGGGAACACGGGGGGGAAAGAGGAACAAACTGTACTCTGTGTACCGAGCAAAGAACATGGCTATACTCAGTCGGGTTAAGCTGCATTTGCATACATTAATAATGGTGTTGTAATTGAGGTTCATCGGTCATTTTGCACCACAGAAATGCGGAAAAATGCAAGCTAGCTCTTGTAAAAAATACTGTGTAGACGTAGCCTTGTATTTTGATTCCTGGAAATGTTTGATTGCAGTCTGAAAAGTGACTATTCTTACCACCGTTAAGTGCATGATGAGTAATGCCTCTAGTGAAGTGTCTTTCTACTTTATTTTGCTTTGCACTGCCTTGTAAGGACAGGCGGTACTTCTCTGTGTAGCCTCTTTGAATGTAATGCTTTGGGGTTGACAGAAGTCTTTCCATGTAGGAAGGTTGAGTCAAGATCTGTGTATGTAAACAGCTCCGTTAGCTGGAATGGGCTTGCCCTTTTCAGCGCTGCCGGAGGCTTCAGGTCAAATCTCCTTCCTCTCCTTCCAGACGCTGGTTTGTGTTTTGGATGCGGCTTCTTCTATGAAATACTTTTGAGACAGTTTCTTTGGGAAGCGCTGTTTTGTAATGATGATATCATTGTCCCGTCTGTTTTTTTGATTGGGTCCAGAGGGTAGCTCAGCAGCTTCTGGCAGGCCTCATGTTGAGATGCTGGCGCTGTGCCCGGGATAGCTAGGGAGCTGCGAGTTAACAAAGGGGGAGTTTGGCCTCTTTGTAGTGCGTCCGTAGGGTTTTATAGCTTTAGTTCCTGGTTTGTGTGTCTCAAAGTAACATTTCCCCCTTGCATGAATTGCAATATTTGGCAGATTTTGCGTTGTTGCTATACGGTTACTACAATAAACAAACCATGCAGAGTGTTAGAATCAATAAAGTCTGTGACACACGCTCAAACCTGTAACAGATGCAAGCTTCATTGCATCTGCAAACTTGCCTACTGGCCACACACTGGTTTGTTTGTTCTCTTATCGTATTGGCTAGTGACCCGAATGGTTGCTATTTGAACTGGAGGCTTATAAATAGACCTGTGTACTGCTGCAGCAGGCAGAGAGAGCCAACACACTTGTTAACCTGCTCTAGGAAAAGGTCGGGAGACACGTACACACAAACGCACACTTCTCGTTGTCAAATGCACTGGTCCACTTTTACTGAAGGATGTTGAGGTGTGTCGTTTTCCTCTTCCTCCTCTTAATGTTTTAACCGCCCTCTTGTGCTTTCCAATCCAATCCAACTTTATTTATATAGCACTTTAAAACCTCCAGACCAAAGTGCTGTACAGAGAGATACATCAAATATAAAATCTTTGTAAAAGATACAAACACAAAACAAACCAGAATAAACGGGATTTAAAAACAGACAGTGTGGGAGCCTGTCTGATTAGCAAGGGCAGGTCGTTCCAGGTCGTTTCCTCGCCTCTTTACTTTCTCTGCATCAGGATAAGAGATTTTGCTTGCCAGTTTTAAGCCTGTTGTATAACTCTAATCTAGTTTAACCAATACACTTGCATCCCCTTTAAGAAGGTGTGCAGGGTGGTCTGTCTACTTCCCACTCGTTTTTCATGCTGCTTTTCTGACTCACTTAAGAGTACTTTTCTTAATCTCATGGCAACAGAGAGATGCATGTAATGACTCCTTAATAAACAGAAAAACATAATGAAATGATTAAGCTGTGCACCCTGGGTCAAAACATTTCCTAATATATCTCCAAAACATCATTGGCAAAATGGAAGAAGCTGCGAACACTTGTCGTCACAGTTGGAGTTCACCTGCATCTCTGTTTTAATGAAGCTGTGCATCGAGGCTAAGGAGATGCCAAGTGGAAATTAAAAGAAAAGTGATCAGCTTTGTTCGTTTTTGAAGGTGGGGCTGTTAGAGGTGGTGTTATACAAATACAGTTATTATTAATTGTATTGACTATCACCTTTCATGCAAGGATGCATTACAAAGTGCTTAACAGAACAACCAGAACCAAATACAGATAGAAATAGAAATAAAACAAAGAGTAAGATAACAATACATGAACACTGATACCAGTAAAATGTCCTGAATTAAAAGCTAGTGAGGACGACATCAAGTAAGCCAACTGTGTCATTTTCAGTAATGAGACACAATTTCACTGCAAACGTCCTTGTGGCGATCCTTACACTGTCACAGTCGACAGAAGGCCAATTCTCCATAGCTAGACAAGTGAAACTTTCCCATCGTTAGTGACTGCATGATGGTTTGATTATGCACAAGGCCCATTCATGCTGTGAAGTGGAATAAAAGTATGAGCCATGAGTCATCCTGGTGTCTGAAATTCTCTGGAAACCCTTGCTGTTGGTGATGAGTGTCCAGATTTTAAAACGGTTGTTTTTGAAGTTATTGATAATTCATAGGTTCATAATGTTAACCTTACCATCTCTTTTCTCTTTCTGTCTCTCTCCGCAGTGCCAGAGCATACCAAGTCAAGACAGAGTCCTAAATCTAAACAACTTCCCCCCCTTCCCCCTCCCCACAAATACACATACACACAATCGTACACACATACAGTCCTCAGCAATGCCAAGGGGGCCCGATCAGCCTGCTGCCCGCTCTGACAAGCCCTGCCTCTTCACCTCAGGCCCTTGAGGGCTGTGCCCTGTGAGCTTTATCCTTTTGACCTCCCATTGGTCAACCTTGGAACCGGAGGTCACTCGTTCTCCACTCGACCCGGGGTCACGAGCCGCACTCACAGGTAAACTACAAACAACAACAAAAAAAAAAGAACAAACCAAACGCAAGAAAACTGTTTCACACTCGATTACATCCGACATTCTCAAACACGTACAGAGACACAAGACTACAAAAACAATCTGTCTGCCAATAACACATTCTTGGATAAGCAGGAAGATAGTTGTTCATTTACACCTTGACAATCAAGGTGGGTGTGTTCTGGCTCATGTCTTCTGATGAGTTTCTACTTGTATCCATATAGTTGTAAAAACAAAATAAACTAGTCAGAAAAGTAGCAGATTGCCAATTTCTGTAAGACTACAAAATAACATCCTAACGTGAAAACATAACGTTTAGCATTATTAACCCAAGCAGCAGCTATTAGTCTCCTGAGGTTTTTGAAAGTGGTGCAAATGGTTTGGCTTTACCAATACCAAATTCAGCTCAGACGAGTCAGAGAAATACACAAACATTAAACAATTACTTGCTAAATTGAAATATTTGTTTATATTGTAATACAGATAATCAACTGTAAATACCTAACCAGGGTCTGTTTACTAATACTCCTCTACTTTGCAAGTCCTTCTAATTTTCCACCCCTCTGACTTTAAACTTGTTTTTCTTTCTGTTTGCTTGATTCCCATTGAATGTCCTGTTCTGTATTAGCTTTCTAACATCTCCTCTGTGTGTTTTCTTGTGGCTTTCTCTCGAACTCGCTTTAAGTCTGTTTGACAGTCTTTCCTCTCTCTCTCTGTTTCCAGGCATGGCTCCCATTCGGGATTCCGTCAGCCACTCCCCTAATCAAACAGGTGACTACACATAGCCTTCTTCTTTCCCCGTTCTTTTGCGCTTCTTCATTCTTCTTCCTCCCAATGTCTTCCTATGGCTCTCTCTGCTCTGTGATCGGCAGACTAGGTAAACCCAGATGCATTTTTCCAGGCTTATCAGAAAAACTGAAAGTGGGTGTGGAAAGGGTGCAAGAGGAGACTTGGCAAGCAAACAAGATAAGCGCAACAGAGATCTGAACAGAAACGTACAGGGTGTCCGCGGGGTCTTAAAAAGTATTAAAAGTTGATCAATCAATTTAGCGAAAAATAAGGCTATTAAAAAGTATTAAACGGCATTTTCCAAGGTATTACGTTTTGTAGCTTGTTTTCAATAAGTATATAAATTGTCCAAAGAGGTTGTATTCTACAGTCTCCCTGAATGTAATCATTGCGTAGGTGTGTAGTGTGATTCTGTGTAGTTTATTTATGGCATCCCGTTGGATTTGACGTCATCTGAACAGGACATCGCACGATAGCGTGCGAAGGTCCGTTTACGCCGGTTGTTAAACAACATCGTTATGGGGAAATGCAAGTTTGCGTCCAAATGGTTGGAAGATAAGGAGGAAGGACAATCAATACTGTATATAGTCAATGTGAGGTAAAGTGTGTCGCCAATGTAACCGGTTAGAACTCGAAGTGGCGATGAGGTCTTAAAATGTACGGAAAGGGTCTTAAAAAAGGTCTTAAAAGGTATTACATTTCACTTCAGGATTCCTGCATATACCCTGAGTATTCAAATAAAATGGAGCTGAGCCTCGTCAGAGCCAATGCCCTGGCCTTGCTGCCTTTTTTTTAATCTTCATAGGAAAAGTACGGTAAGGTTGGCTCACAAACTTAGCTGATTGCAAAGCTCATGTTTGTTTTTAAGCCATAAAAAAGAAAAAGACCAAAGGTCAGTTATGTTTTTAAGACATCCTCCTTTACAAATATTGCTTTAAAAATCGATTTAGTCTCTTTATCTTAGTCTTGCACATTAATAATAATTCCTTCACTTTAAACCAGTATCCTTGTAAAAAATGTTCATTCATTAATTACCACAGCGAATGGGCTCCTACTGCAAAAATGCAGTTTGAGTTACGAAGATGCGGCAAATAATGAAGGCACAGCACAGAGGCTCTGAAAATGCAGGCACTTGAGTCAGAACTGAGTGTGTTCATAATGGCCCTGAAAGCAAGTAGCAGATCATAAGTGTTCTCTGGAGTCTAATTTTAGAGACATGCCAAGTCTGAATGCAGATGCTCTCAGACAGTGGTATTGTATCAGGAAAAATATCAAGGATTAAACAGAGTCTGAATTTTTCCAGCTGGTGTGACTCCCTCCTGCTATTTCACTCACAATTGCCATCTCCCCTCTCCCGCTGATGGTCGTCGGCTGCCCTCCCTGAATCCTAGTTTATAGCTTTGGCATGCTTCTGGGTCCCGCTGCGGTGACAAAATGGTGGCAGCTGTGTCCAGGCTCAGCCCTGGCACTGATCAAATCCAGAACAGTTGGGTAGCTGAAAGTTGGAGGAAATAGAAAAATGACAAAGCCACTGTGAATGAGGCGATTTCGAACCACATCCGTTGTTTCGTTTAATAAAGTACATTTACTATCCCAACATTTTATTGACCGTGATAAATCTGCACCTTTGGTAATTGCTTGATTTTGATTTGAAATGTTTTTCTAACCCTATCCCCTGCCATGTCCACCCTTCCTCTCTACAGGTCTGGAGCACCCTGGCTTGGACTCGCAGTATGAGCCTTCCCCCTGGTCCTCTGGCTCCCCCTGCAGCGGTGACGGTAACACCAACTGGGGCAAAGTCCTAGTGGACGGAAGCACCGACAAACCCAACAACCCTTCTTCAACCAACTCTTCCGTCTGGCCTCCGTCTTCTTCCTCGTTCTCTTGCTCCTCGTCTTCTTCCTCTTCTGGCTGTGGGTCAGGATCGGACCCAGAGTTGGCGTCAGAATGCATGGACGCAGATTCTAGCTCCTCGATCGGCTCGGAGAAAAACCTTGCCGCTGTGACGACAGTGATGATGATGTCAGCAAATGCTCCTTCCTCTGTGTCTTCTACGGCTTCTTCTCCCTCCTCTATGGTGACTTCCGACATGATGGTCGGCGTTTCGGTGAATGGAGACAGCAACGGCAACAGTCGTCAGATAATCGGCGGAGGGATGGGGGGCATCGGCGGTGCAAATAACGGAAATAATAACCTCACCGGGTCCTCCCACTACTCCGCGGCTGGGTCCAGCAGTATTGGCAGCAATAACATGGGCAACCACAACAAGCCCGTCAATAACAGTGGTGTCTGGGGCAGCAACATGATCTCTGGAGGAAGCCCCCCCTGCATCAATGGAGGGTTGAACCCAAACACTTTAAACCCAAATGCCAACCACGGTGCCTGGCCACAGAATCCAAGCCCAGTGTCCCAGGGCCAAAGGCCTCCTCAGGCTCAGGGGATGAAACTGGGTATAGCTCCCCAGCAGGGCCCCATGCTTGGCTGGGGCGGCATGGCAGCTCCCAACAACAGCAGTATGATGGAAGACACCGAGAAGAATAATGGTACAGCAAGCAGCAAGGTGTTAGGAAGCAGCAACAGTGGAAATGGTGGCCTACAGCCGACCAACCTTAACACTGAATCCAATGGACCAAATAACACTATGATGATGAATACTACTACTACTACTACTAACGCCACAATGACCTCTAGTCCACCAAACTCTACAGCCTCACCCCAACTCAGCGGGGATTGTTCCTGGGGCACTATTGGAGGAGGGAACGTGGGTCCGCTGGCGAATGGAAACCCCATATCAGCCCCCCAGCACCCCCAAGGAGAGCTGGGAGGTCCTGGGACCTTCGGTACGCCTTGGGGCGCAACTACCTACCCTGGTGAAAAGGGCCCCCTAAATGCAGACACTGTGAACCCACAAAACCCTGCCTTAATGCAGGCCGGGAACCCCCAAATATCCTCTACTGCTGCTTACAAGAGTAATAATAACCACAATAACACTGGGGCCCCGCACTGGGACCAGGGGCCTGCCAATAACCCAAACCAGCCTCAGAGCAACTCCTGGGGTAATCAAATCCAAGGCTCTGCAGGCCAAACGCCAGGAAATGGGAACCAAACTACGATGGGCCCTCCAGTAGGGATACCCCGGCCCTGGGGGAGCAGCGCGTCTTCTTCCTCTTCCTCATCGTCCTCTACCACATCCAACAACAAGATGCCGAATGGAGAATGGGGAACGACAGCTCCTGGTATCAACCAATCAGATGCTGGAAGTCATAAAGGAAGCTCTGCCAACAATGGCTGGAAGAGCTTGGAGGATGACGCCATGGGAGTAGGAGGAGGGGGAGTAGTAGTAGGAGCAGTAGTAGGAGCAGGGGGAGTAGGAGGAGGGGGAGGAGTAGGAGGAAGTCACGCCATAGGGAGCGTCACTGGAGGCTGGGGCCGCTCTGGAGGAAGTGAGGGAAGCGGAGAGAGCTCCGGAGGCCGATCCAGCGCCGACAGAGACCAGTCAAAAGGGGGAATCCGCAGAACGGTTATCCCTCCTGGGCCAGTAGTATCGGCTGTGCCCCCGGTCGACGTGGACCCGAGAGTCCTTTCCAACACTGGATGGGGACAGACACCCGTTCGACAGAACACCTCCTGGGATGTCAACTCTCCCGTTAATAGACAAGTTCCTAGAGGCGACGAAAGAAAGCAAAGCAGCGGAGGCCCCGGATGGGGCTCAGCAACACCGGCAGCTCCCTCCCAGACCTCCGGAGGTAGGAAAATCATGATAATTAAACTTTTGTGTGGATATATTTTATAGATCTGAACAAACATTAAAGTAAGACCACAATTACACACAAAAAAGTCAGCAAAAGATTGACTTCCCTTTGGTTTGCTTGCAGGTTGGGGTGGTGGGCCGGGCAACTCAGGTCCAGGTCCAGGTCCAGGTCCAGGTCCAGGTCCAGGTCCAGGTCCAGGTCCAGGTCCAGGTCCAGGAGGCTCTGGCTGGGGCGAGCGACACAACTCTAGTTGGGACAATAAAGCCCCAGCAAACGGAGGAGGTGGGCAGAGCAGCTGGAACGATGGATCCGGCTACAAGGGTGGCAACAACAACAGTAACACTTGGAGCAATAACACCAACAAAGACGACAGGTAATTGATGATTGGACATTTCAGAAATACTGATTTTAACAACACAGAAATATAGTTTGAAGCAAGTTTAATGTGACGCCTAATTGAGTAACTGATCTTTTTTATTTATTTGTTAGATCCAATACCTGGACTAATGCGCCCAAACCGCAGCAGCAAGGCTGGGGTTCGCAGAGTGGACATGGAAGGGAGGGCTGGGGTCACGGTGGAGATGGACCCAGAGCAGGGGGCAACAACCACTGGGAGGGGCGGGAGAGGGATAGCGACAGCAACCGCTCAGGCTCCGGATGTTGGAGCGAGCAGAGCCGAACCAACACCAGCAGCGGCGGCAACACCTGGGCGGGCGGCGGAGGATCAAATACTCCAGAACAGAGCACTCCGAACCCAGGCTCCAACTGGGGTGACTCAAACCCTCAGAAACCCAACCCTCAGGGTCACAGCCAGGGCTGGGTCGAGCCCGCAAAGAACAACCAGAACTGGGGTGAGCACAATCCAAAGCCCTCCAACGAGTGGGGGAAAGCTCCTGAAGCCAACATGTCCCGAGGCAATCCACCCCCCACCAAGCCCGCAGGTACTTATCTGGAGTATTCATCCAATCAGAATCTCTTTTTAAATCAAGAATCCTATATGTTTGTTTATAAGCAAGTCTAAATATGCCTGTGTTTAGTTTATTTATAGTTTACGGACTTTTCAAGTGATACAATGTAAGTTAATACTAAATGGACAACAACATTTAAAGAAGACTGAAATGTTGAGATTTACATTTGAGAAATGCATACTATGTTAAAAAAAATCTTTAGAAAAGGCCATAGGGCACCAAAACAGAATTCGTAAGTGGGAGGATACGCAATTGATGGCTCACTTTTTGTGTTTTCTTCCATCAGGCTGGCAAGGAGGCCCAATTCCCACAGCAGTTCAGAAGGAGGAAACTTCATCTGGGTGGGAAGAGCCTTCTCCTGAGTCTGTTCGCAGAAGGAATGAGATCGATGATGGGACAGCAGCTTGGGGAGAACCAGGTAAACACTGAGCACACTAGGAATCCCTTCAAAAACTGCTTTGCAGAGTCTAAATCATTTAAAACTCGAACTTCTTATTGACTTGATGACTCAAACTTGATTTAACTCTCTTCCCAGCCGCTAAACACGGCGTTGGAGCTGGCAACATGTGGAGCAAGACCAGACAATCAGAGCAGGAGGCTGCGAGTCAGCCCCCTCAGCACCAGCCCCACCCGCCTCGCAGCGTCATGCATCCTCCTCCGCCCGTGCAGCCTATGGCCCAGGACAAAAGCTGTAATAGTAAGTTTAAATATGTATGCACAGATTTTTAAGGCACGTACAGTTCACACCTGTATGTTTGACACAGCGCAGGTAGAAGCCAGATGAAGCCAAATTAATCAGCTGTTATTTTTTATCCATATGCATTATTAATCTATGCGTTCTATAGAATAAAAGGTATTGAATAACCAAAACTTAAACTCCCTAGCTTCAATCGTTAACACAGCTATGAAATCACAAAAAGGTGTGGTGTTACGCACAACATTTTTTACACCCATCAAACACTTCTGTACTATTCTAAAATGGCTGAGCCAGACCTTCTCGTGTTTTTCCCCGACTAGATGTTGCAGCCAAATTACCAAATGTTTTGTCATTACACGATTCATTGGTTGTTAGCCTGCAGGGATACTTTCATCGCTGCACACTTGAATGACAGCCTTTCAATTGCTTCCTTAGTTTTGCACACTTCAGATAACATGCACTGACTGTGGGTGGATTAGCATGCAGATTACTAATGTTTTACTTTGAGCCATATTGAGATTCATGTAAAAATGCTAGGCCATCAGCGAGTATCTGAAATGGTACGAGTGTCTAAATGGTGCAGCCTTGAATAGAATAAAAATCCCCAATTTCCACCCACTCTCTTTTTGAGACAGCTGGTTTTAAAAGGATTTGGACAGTACAAACAATTAAAACGTGTGGATGCAGATATGTATTCAATAGCATATACAATCTGCACAGTACATGGAGAGAAAACAATCTCGTACAGACACTCTCCCCCATCTCCCTACGGTGTTGTCTATGTTGAAGGCTCTTTGTAAAGCTGGTTGAGTCATCCCTTTGGAATGCTAAGAGCATCGATTTTTCTCTTCTCATTCGCCTTTTTTTTCCACATCCCTTTTTTTCTCTTTCACCCGCCAATTCGGGCTTGCTGTAGAAACACTGGCTTTTGTTTGGTTTGATAAAAAGGGGAGCAATGAGCAGCAGAGGAGCTGGAGCTGGCTTGGTAATAGGAGTAGTTCCAGTGTAAGACGGGGAAGAGTAAAATGAGTAAGACAGCGATTCTGTAGAAGTGGGCTGAGAAGAGTGAGAAAGGGGGGTTGGGGTTATTTGGGGTTGCTGTCGAGTGAGCTAACTGGAGCAGCAAACTGGGAAGGGTGGGGCAGAGCAGCTAGCGACTGTAACGAGAGGAAGGACCAGGATGTAGATTTACAATTTTAAAAATGAAATGTAAAAAGAATGAAGAAAAAAACACTATCCTTTAATAGAAAAATATGTAAGTGAAATTGGCTGATAACATTTTATATATATTTACAGATGTGTTACTAGAGTAAAGAACTTCAAAGATTCTAAACAAATGTAAAATTGTCGATTCTCTTTTAGGAATAATATTTTTTAAAGTCTTCACAACTTAAGTTTAAGGTTACAAACGCGTACGTACTCCTGTTTTAAGTGTATAGCAAATTTGCTACTGCATGTATGTTTAGTTCAGTGTCCATGTTTCTTTTTGTTGTCATGTGCGAGTACTTGTGTTCGAGCATGCCCGGTCACATGAGGGACACTGGAGCCTGAGGCCGCCCCATGATATGTCCTATTTTTACGGGGAGGTATCCCTGGCATCTCCCGAAATGCCTTCTGTAGCACGTCTGAGTTGTCAACTGAAACGGGAGACTTTCTAACACGCACATTTTTAGGGTGCACAAGGGTCCGTGCACACAAGAGTTGGTAAACAACACTTATATAAACAAGTTAACGCCGTATTCCCCAGAGACAGGAGCAGGGCTCTGTTCTCTGATTCCAGCAGGAAACAAACAATGTCAACTTGCAGCAGCATTGTTAAGGAGATGTGGGGAGTAGGTCTGCAAAATAAATCCAAATGCTATGTAAATCGCAATATGGACTAGTACAATGTTCAAATCGCAGGAAGCACAATATTTGGCTAAACATGATTTTAAAAAAGACAATTTTTAATAAAGTATAGTGGAGCTGCAATGATATCCCAGCCTGCAGGTTTAACAAAACAAATTGGTTTTTACAGATATTGTTAAGAAATAGCACCATAATCGTGTGTATGTATATATATATCAGGGTTTCCGTTAGCCGGTAATTAGACCAGCCGGAGCATCCCTAATTATTACCGGACATTTTGACCGGCAAGTTTTGAATTGATCGGTTTTTAATAAAAGTTACCAGCTAAAAACCGGTAAATTCAAAATGTCCGGTAATAATTAGGGATGCTCCGATCGATTGGCCGCCAGGAGAGCTGCATCTGATCGATATGGACATAAACGAGAGTGAAGTATAACCGGACGTGAGAGAGAGAGATCAGAGATCAGATCAGCTGCTGAGTCTGACGGAGACACGCAGCTCTGCATGATCACCTGAAGCCCCGCCCACTATTTAGCGAGAGAGGGGGGGAGAGGGAGGGAGAGGGGAAAAGAAAGGATCAGTTTCTCCCGTGTTATTATTCAAAGTTAATGTAAACTTTTGAATAATGTACTTCATCTACTATAAGTAGTTTGTTTGAATGTAATAATTATGTTGTTTGTGGAAGCGCATCATTTATTGAAAAATGAATCTGAATTTTTCGATCTGTTACGATTATAAACTGAAGCAATATAAAAATGAGCCCCATTAACTGAGTTTTAAACATCAGCATATTTTTATAAAAAAAATATCAAAAATGTTTTTTGCTTTTATTTTGGTTGGTATTTTAGCTTTGCTACCTTCTGGTTTAAGTCTTCAACAATGATAAAACATTTAAATGAAAACCACAGAGAATGTATCGTCCTTCTAACGGGTACTGCCCTCTTCTCCTCCAGGTTGGGGTGAGCCGTACGCCAAGAAGAAGGAGTCCTCAACGTGGGAGCCTCCCGCTCCTCCACCTGTAAAAGTGGACAACGGGACGTCTGCCTGGGGGAAACCCATGGAGACCAACTCCACCTGGGAGGAGCCCGGCCGAGATAAGAGAGACTCCGCTGCGCCTGGATGGAGCGGACAGCACAAGCCTGGTAGGAGCACACATTCTTTGTTTGAATAATTTATTTGGAGTCATTAAGTATTTCTATTACAGTCGCCAGTTATCCATCTTTTTAGTTTTCCAACAGCAATGTTTACAATCTCTCGTTGGTGTTCACTTTCTTCCTCTGTCCTTTCCTTCTTAGTAGCTCCAGGTCCCAAGCCCATGGAGACGTGGGGAGGGGGAGAGGGCAACAGCTGGGACCAGGAAGAGGAGGTGGAGATCGGCATGTGGAGCAACAGCCAACAGGACAACAGATCCCACGACCAAAACACCTGGAGCTACAAGCATAAAGTCTCCAGCAAGGTACGTTGACATCGAATTAGCTCGTTTGTAGCATGAAAACATAGATCCCTACTCTCACAGAACACCTGATATTAAAGCAAAGCACATCATTTGTAAAGTAATTGTAGCCGTCGTCTTTATTTTGCAGAATGGATTTTATTTTCTGAAATTATCTTTTTTTTTTTTCTTCTGAAACACTTGAAGACACTGGAAGCATTAGCAGCCAGTTTAACCATTGGTCTTTTGTTTTACTACGTTTCAGATTAACAAACCAGTCAACAAACAGGATGAGCCCTGGATGAGGCCGTTCGTCAACCAGTTCAACAGCATGAACTTCTCTGTAAGTCCTGTTTCTAATGATTCGTCTGTTGCCTCTCATTTACTTTGAAATTCAGCATATATTAATACAAATGGCTGTTAAAGCAGCGATTTTATTCATCTTTGGTCTTTTCTAATCCATTTTCCCGTCATGCAGAGAGACTCTCCTGACGACTCCATGAAGACGGGAGCAGGCATGGTGCAGGACAAGCGTATGGACATGGGCGGCATGGGAGACTACAACGGAGGGATGGGGAAGAACCCCGGGTCTCGCCACCAGCTCCACAGGGACTCTCCCATGGACCGCAGCTCTTACTATGACAAGGTATGCACAAACATCAAAGTTACCGTGGTGTACGAATGGGGCTGGGGGTAAAGATCTCAGGAACACAGCAGCTGTGTTTCACCAAGCTCAAATACAAAAAGCGGGTTGTAGCAACAATGAATGAGTTGTAAATATGCTCTACATTAGATACATTTAGCTAACAATTGTATTCAAAGCAACTTACAATAAGTGCATTCAACCATGAAGATACAAACTCATTTGTATGTATTTAAACAAGGAAACAAACCTTAGTTTTCAATTAAAATAATAAACAGACAATTTTATTTGAACTGCAGTCAAGAACCAAAATGTGTACACTTTTTGCTAAATCTAGCTATTTTTAACTACTACGTAAAAGTAACTTTACCAGTTAAAGGTTAAATAATACTCTTTGCCATTGTGGTGATCTTAAGGTAGCTGAGTCTCTCTGCCGTCTCTCAGCCCTGTGCTGCCCCCCAGTGGTGGTTCTCACATACTGCATGGTGGACTACAGAAAGGGATGCATGTTGTATCTCATCATTAGGATTTCTTATTAAGAATATATCATTTCTAATCAATAACAGCAAATTAAATATGCATACTTGTATGCTTGATTGTTATAAAAAAAGGAACTTTTATAAGTGATTTGTAATTATACAACTGAGTCATCCCCTTAAATAGCTGCCCTAGGTTTGTTTGGCTTGCTTCTCTTCTTCCTCTTATGGCGCTTTTCCACTGCAGGGCCTCGTACGGTATGGTTAGGCCTTGGTAGGCTAGGCTCACTTTATGCTGCGTTTCCATTACAGTTTAGGAACTGGGGTAGTAACTATAGTAACGCACTGTTGGCGGGGCGATCGGCTGTTCGGCGGGCGGAGCGACGCTGCGTAAAACTGCCGTGACGTCATCTTCAATGCGAACCACGAAACCAAAACATCAGCCGTTAGCTGTTAGCACTCAGAGCTCACAGCTCCTCATATCTGTTCAGAAACTAGACAAAAGTTAAACATGAACAAACCACAGACTGTCTGTGTCATGGCGAATACAGTCGCTGGTTTATTTATGTCTGTAGGCCGTTGTGAGTGTGGACGGAGCAGATACAACGTTAGCTTAGCCTGATCGATCCGATCTCCATTCAGAAAAACACGCATTTTAAAAGGTTTTTTGTCTGCAGACTTGTATCAGTATGTTGTTACTTCGGCATCATTTTGAAACATATGGTAAAATATGTTCATTTAGTTGTAGTTGTAACCCCCCCCCTTGCCAGCGATTCTCTCTGACCAATCAGCAGTCGAGAGTGTTTACGTCACTAGTTTAGCATATTCAGCCCGGTTGTTGGCCCGGTAAGAACCTCAATTTTGGAGGGCCAGAAAAAAGGTGAAAAAGTACCCGCTAGCCGGAACTAGCCCTAGTGGAAAAGCAAAAAAAAGCTTAAACCGTACTGCATGCTGCAGTGGAAAAGCGCCATTAGAGCTGCTTGTCTCTTATCTTATCTGTCTTTTTGGTGCCACCTTCTCATTATTCTTTTCCCACGGTCATCCCTTCCTCCTTCCTTCTCTCTCTTTTTCTTCTGCAAAATTAACTCTTCCTCCTTTTCTCCTTCCCTCTCTGCACTTCTCTGGCTGCTGACCTGCTTCCTGTCCCTCTGTGCTTGCTGTCCGTCTGCTGTGCGCCTGGGCTTGCTTCTGCAGCTGTCCGTTTCCCCCTCTGCTTACAATAACGCGGCTCCTGACGAGCTCTCCTCCAATCAAAGCATGAGCTTTTCCTCTTCCAATTCTGCTCAGCCTTTCACCTGCCTCGAATCTGGGCCATCTCCCGCCCACTTGAGTCCTGGGGGCGCTCGGCAGGTGAGTGTGGCAGGAGGAACAGGGTGTTGGTTTTATGGGTCTTCAGCCTCAGACTCCACAATGGTATTCTAGCGGGTTCACACATTTATCTGACAATTCATATTTAATTTCTTGGAACCCTGTGTTCACAAAGACACAAAACAACAAAGTATTCTGATAGTTTTTCAGTTTGTGCAAGTTGTTTGACCTTCTGCTTGTGTGTGTTTGTCTCCCTTCTCAGAATGTAAACCCTATGATGGGTGGCAGCAGCGTAGCACAGGGCCGAGGCGGCCCCCAGTCACAGATCCCCCCCCAACCCAACCTCCGCAACCAAGTGCCTCCACCCATCCTGCCCCCTCAGGTAAAACACCATACCTGTTTTCTCTAGGATAGCATTGCATCTACTGCTCATTAGTTAAAATGTTGTCCATGGTTTGATTTGTGTTTTATCCAAAAATGTGAATGACCTTTTATATACATTTAAAGTTTACAAATATGTTGTTTTGTGCTCAGGTGTCTCCATCCCTGTTGAAGTACCCGGGAGGTAATGGAGGTCTGAACCCTCTGTTCGGCCCTCAGCAGGTCGCTGTGCTCAACCAACTCTCCCAGCTCAACCAGCTGTCACAGCTCAGCCAGATCAACCAGTTACAGGTAGAGCCACAGAAACATGTTGTATCTGCACTCAAATACACACAGCAGTGAGCCTTGTGAAATGTTGCCTCGCAGTATAGAGTGACTCAGAAAGGAGTCCAAAAACACCGAAATGTGTTAGAACTTCAACAATTAAAATTGGTGTTGATATAGATACTGATATTATCTTGCTGAACAAAACATACTTAAACAAAACCAGAGATGCAGAAACATCAGCAAACTGCTTTTATTAACATGTTGCTTTTTTGTTCGTCTGCAGCGTCTTCTCCTCCAGCAGCAGCAGCAGCAGCAGCAGCAGCAGAAAGCTCAGAGCCATAGACCCATGCCTGTGGGACGACCCAGTGAACAGGTGTGTGTTTGTTTAAAAATCAACATTTAATCATTTGTATTTCATGAACCAGAAGTGTCTCAATGTTTTCTTTTGTATTGGTTGTGTCTGACTTCCTTACTTCCTGTCCTTAGACTCGTCCTATTGGTTCGTCTCCGTCGATGATGCAGCCGCCTCGCCACCTGGACCCCTCCATGATGAAACCGCCTCCATCACACAAACCCTACATGGATAACTACATGTCCCACAATGCCCCTGACATGCAGAAGGACGCTTCTTCTCTTGGATCCTTCAGCAACTTCCCTTTAAGTACGTTGGCTGATAATAAGTGCAACATTTTAAATCAGTATATGTCCCCTGATTTAGGAGTCGATATTTGACTTGATTTACCTTTATTTTGTACTCTTTATGTTTTAAATATGGAGAGACTGAATTTCTTGTCTCCTTTCTGTTTTCAGGCTTGAACTCTAACATGAATGTACCCCTGGACATGGGTGTTGGTGGAGGTAGTGGCGGCGGAGCTGTGAGCTACAAAGAGCCGCCCCAGTCCAGAATGAAGAAACTTTGGTCGACTGACCCTCTGGAGCAGGACAGCAAATCTGGTACAGAAAAAACTTTGTGTTTTGTCGATATTGAAAGTGCAATTAGAGTTTTTCTTTTATGGGGGGCTGGTCTATATATGAGAGGGGATATTAAACTTCTGGGGTAGAAACAATTGCAAACAAAGTTGCCCGACAAACTCGAGGTGCAATTTGGCAAAAAGGTGTTTGGATTCAAAGCATTAAACACACTAAAATACATTTCAGTCAAATATTAGTTATGCACTTAATGTAAACTGTCGTAAAAACATTTTCCCCCTGGGATGAATAAAGATTTCTGATATGAATAACCAAACCAATGAGTTTTAAGAGTGTGTGTGTTAGGGCTGCACGATTTGGGGAAATAATCTAATTGCGATTTTCCTGACAGATATTGCGATTTGCGATTCGCGATATTTGTTTTTAAGCGACCCAACGGAAGTTTATTGTAAAATGCGGCCATATCTCCGGCTAGGAAGGTCGTATGAACGTGCTCCCGTCTCTAGCACCCCCGCAGCCCGAGCTATGAGTGAAAGAACTAAACTTACATGAAACTTCCGTTGGGTTGCTTTAAAGTCAAGCTTCAGTTTAAGATTCACCCTGTAATAGAACATGTGATGGAGCATCACTAACCTGACTCAGATGGTTTGTTTCACCAAACCATCTAGGAAAGCTCCATTGGAAGCCATTTGGAAAAGTATTTCAAAAATACTTGGCAGGTGATTGGATCAATCTGTCTATCACCTACTATCATGGGCCACTTCTGATTGGTTAACAATGACTGGTACATGTGGAGCACAGCACTTCTGATTGGTTAACAATGGCTGGTACATGTGGAGCACAGCACTTCTGATTGGTTAACAATGACTGGTACATGTGGAGCACAGCACTTCTGATTGGTTAACAATGACTGGTACATGTGGAGCACAGCACTTCTGATTGGTGTGGATGACTGAAACACAAGAAGAACAAAAAATAAAAAAAACAACAAAAAATTGCAGGCTTTGCGATTTGATAATCGCATCATTTCAAATTGCGATTTCCATTTAAAATCGATTAATCGTTCAGCCCTAGTGTGTGTGTCTGTATCCTGATCTATGTCTTTGTTTCCGCCCTCAGGTGCTATGTCGTCTGGGCTGCGTCTGGAGGACTCTCCCTTCTACAACTTCCTGTCTCCTGGCCCGTCAACCCTGAGTCCTCCCGGCCAATCAATGGGCTCGGTGGGAGATGGCTGGCCACCCCGTGCCAACTCCCCCTTGCCCCCTGGAAACACTGTCACCTGGCCCCCAGGTACAACACACAGGCTTTTCTAGGACCAAATAAATAAAACAAAGTGTTCCCGTTGACATGTTCTAATCCACGTCTGTTTTTTTTTGTTGCAGAGTTCCGACCCGGGGAGCCCTGGAAAGGTTACCCCAACATTGACCCTGAGACCGACCCCTATGTGACCCCCGGCAGTGTCATCAACAACCTCTCCGTCAACACCGTCCGCGACACAGACCACCTCAGGGACAGGAACAACGGTAGGTCACACACAACAGAAAGACGGATATGAACACAAAGTAGGGTTGAGTTTCAATTAAGGCTGCACGATATATCGTGTCGTGACGATAATTGCGTTATGCGCATGCGCGATATTCACATCGCAGGACGTGCGATTTCACGCAGAGCGTATTAAGTAGGCAAATTAACTCAAACACGACATGTTACAATTATTTTGCTACTTGCTACAAAAGGAAAACTCACGCGGCTCTACTTGAGTGAGTGACATGCAGGCTCTGCATGCACAGCAAACCACCATTCACATTACATTTAGCTGACGCTTTTATCCAAAGCGACTTACAAGAAGTGCATTCGACCAGGAAGATACAAACTTGAAGAAAACAGAATCATATAAGTACATCAGGTTTCATAGAGCCAAAACATTTTAAGTGCTACTCAACTGGCTTTAGATAAGCTAAGTCCTTTGTTATTATAAGTGCTTTGTTAAAAGTGCTTTGTTAGTATCTAAGTGCTTTTTATTTTGTTTTTTGTTTTTCATTTTATTGCATTTCACCAATCACAATCATTCTTGATCAGATCACAGCAGGATAACCGAGCTAGCTCAGCTTGTTGCTCTGATAACTTAAGATCCAGAAGTCCGTGACTAAAATCCTTCATCCGGTTAAATATCGTTAAAAAAAAATACCAATTGTATAGCATTGAAGTTCAAGAAAGGATGGTTTGCGGACAATTCCTGTTTTTTTTCATATCGCAATATATATCGCAGGGGGAAAAAATATTGCAATGTCAGTTTTTTCCAATATCGTGCAGCCCTAGTTTCAATACAGAATACCAATGTTTTATATCTCTTATTTAATCTTTTATCTACTTCTCTTTCCTTTCATTAGCATTAAACAATGTCCGAAACGTTAAGAAAGAGCTTCTTTCAAGCGAACACAGTCTGTTTTGCTGTTTGAGATAACAGCGTTCACCTGCAGATTGTATTTAAGCCAGATCCAAGATTGTGTCTTGGAGAAAGAAGCACCACTCTGTACCATTTCCGAGGGCCTTATTTCCCTGACTTGAAAGAAATGTGATTTTCTCTCTAGCTTTTAAAAAGATAATGAAATTGTAAAGCGTTTATAAACCATACATGTTGTTGTTGTTGTTGTTGTTATGTCTTCAGAGGCGCTAACTTTCCCCTCTCTGTCTCGCAGGGCCATCCTCATCACTGAACACCACGATGCCTTCTAACAGTGCCTGGTCATCCATTCGTGCCTCCAGCCACAGCGGTTCCCTCACCAGTACAGCACAAAGCACTTCAGGTATGCTTCACTTCTTGTAATACGGCTTTTTCAATTGTCTGACAAAATAAAAAGTCTATATACATTTAAATATGATATGTAGAGATTGGCAGTCCTTCACAACGTTTCTCTATCATTTGAAGGCAAAAATGTAACATTAAAAAAAACTGCTGCAAACCTATGAAAATGGCTCAATATGTTGGAAAATATTTTTGGACTTAAAATAGAAATTGAGGTAAAAAAAAAAAAAAAAAAAAAGAACTAACAGAACTCAAATGTATGCCATTTGCATTAACACAGCAAAGGTTATTGGAAAACACTAAAATATCCCTAGTGAGTCACAAGGGATACGAGTCCCTTCACCTTGACACTGTAGCCATGTTAGACTCATTTAAAGGTCACCTATTATACAAAATCTACGTTTTCACATCTTGTATACATAAACATGTGTCCCCTCTGTGTAAAGAGATTCTGAAAGTTTCAGGAAAAAAAGATTCGCTCACTTCCTGATCCATTTATATATAAACCTGTCTGAAAATGAGCCGATTTTTTGGCTTGTGTAACCATTAGCCAATCACCAACCAAGGTAACCCCCCCCACCTTATCACCTGAATCTCCTCCTAGAGCACCATTGTGTTTATTTTTAACCAAATATCTCTGAGGGGCGTGGGGAGTGGCTCCTTATTCTTATCTAAAGTAACAGACAGAGAATCAGCACTTTTGAAACAGGGCTGAAACAGAGGGGATTATGGGATGCTGCAATGATCTGTTTGGTGTTTGGAGCAAAACACTTCAGAGAGATGTTTTGTATATATCTGAGACCTCTAATATATTGATGAAAAACATTATAATAGGGGACCTTTAAGAAGAAAGATGTTTTGTGAAACTGATCCCCTTTGCCCCTCTCTCCCTGCAGCCAGACCCAGTGAGTCGAAGTGGTCTCCCGGCGGCGGTTCTGTGTCCAACTCCTCCCTGGCCCACGAGCTGTGGAAGGTCCCCCTGCCCCCCAAGGCGCTGGCTGTGGCGGCTCCTTCCAGACCTCCACCCGGCCTCACCAGCCAGAAGCCCAGCTCCGCCTCCTCCGGCTGGGACAGCTCTTCCCTGAGGCTGGGGGGGGTGGGGCTCCACAGAGTCCAGATACACACCTGGTGAGAGCTCATGCACACTACCAGGGGTCAATAACTAATGGCGCATTTCCACTACACGGTCGGCCTCGGCCACACTCGGTACGGCTCGGTACGGCTTGGCCGCGTTGGGCCTTAACAGGGCCGACTCACTTCATGCTGCGCTTCCATTACAGTTTAGGAACTGGGGTAGTTACTATAGTAACGCAGTGTAGGCGGAGCCGTGACGTCATCTTCAATGAGAAATCCAGAAACACAACACAGCCGTTAGCTGTGAGCACTCAGAGCTCACAGCTCCTTATATCTGTTCAGAAACTCGACAAAAGTTAAACAAGTACAAACCACAGACTGCCTGTGTCATGGTGAATACAGTCGCTGCTTTATTTATGTCTGTATAGGCCGTTGTTGTGAGTGTGGACGGTCGGGGCATATACTGCGTTAGCTTAGCCAATCTCCATCTAGAAAAACACGAATTTTAAAAGGTTTTTCGCCTGCCGTCTGTCTGCAGACTTGACAAAGCATTAATTCATGATTTTTACTAACCGGTATCAGTATGTTGTTACTTCGGCATCATTTTGAAACGTGTATTACAATTAAATCACGGTCAAATATGTCCATCTTGTTGTAGTTCTAGCCCTCTTGCCAGCGCTCCTCTCTCTAGTTTAGCATACTCAGCCCGACTCAGCCCTGTTTGTTGGCCCCGATAGAACCACAATTTTCTAGGGCCAGAAAAGAGGGGAAAAAGTGGCCCCGCGCCGTGCCGCGCCGGAACGAGGCCTAGTGGAAGCACAACCAAAAAAGGGGACGGCACGACACGGCACGCTTAAAGCGAGCTACGCGCTGCAATGGAAATGCGCCATAAGTACATTTAATCAGGTAGAAACCATCACTGGCAGAAAAAGAAAAAAAATGCGTCAACGTTTTTGCATTGCCCCTCTACTTTTGTGAATAAGAATCAGAATACCCTTATTAGTCCCACAGAGGGGACTATAGCCGCTTTCACACCAAGTACTTTGCCGTACTTAGTGCCGGCACTTAGTACCCCAGGGCACTAAGTACCAATCGCGTTCACACCGGAATAAGTTCCCTGAGGGAAGATTACGCAAATGAGCCGCTGACGTCACTTCGTCTTCTTCTGCTTTGGGTTTACTGGCAGGCCGCAAACAACTTCACGGCGTATACTGCCGCCCGAAGTCCCCGGCCGGAAGTCCCCGGAGTTGGGGACTGGCTTCAGTAGAAGCTGCTGGGACTCCCAGCAGCTTCTACTGAAGCCTTCCGAGTAAATCGCCAGAACGCCGACACCTCCTCATCTCCACCGCTCCCATGTTTTTTTTTGTGTTGCCATAAGTTAGTCTCTCTCCGTTGGTGCGCGGGGCTAATGCTAATGCTAATAATGCTAATGCCACAAATACAATGGCGGCTTCACAAAACATTTCAGAGTTTTACAGGGCGTGGTTTGCAATTCGCCCCGCCAATCAGAAATTGGTACTTTTTTGGTACCACCTCTCTAGCAGGCACTAAAAATGGGGGTAAAAGTTCCCGGCACTAAGTACTCTTTTTGGTGTGAACGTAACATAAGGGGTACTAACGAAACTAAACGGGAAAAGTACTCCGGTGTGAACGCGCCTATTTATGGCGCATTTCCACTATACGGCCTCGCTCGGTATGGCTAGGCCTCGTTAGGCCTTTTTAGGACTGGCTCACTTTATGGCACATTTCCATTACAGTTTAGGAACTGGGGTAGTATCTATAGTAAAGCAGTGTAGGCGGAGCGAGCTCCGCGCTGTAGTGGAATTGCGCCATTACATTGTTACAGCAGAAAAGAGCCAAAGACAGCTTAATGTTACTAAGAAGCATGCATAAAAAAGTATTAAAGGTAACAAAATTAACATTAAAAAAAAAAGTTACACAATTTACAAAATACACATCCTGTAACAGTTCTAAGGATTTAGCAGCCAGGTATATATATTGCACAGTTATTAACGGCATATATATATATATATATATATATATATATATATATATATATATATATATATATATATATATATAGCACATAGTTGGTTGGTATTTAACAACAGGGGGTGTTGTAGTCCGTGTTGTTGTGCGTAAGCCAAACTCTTCTGTTCAATACCTCTAACCATACATAAGAACTAGGGCTGTACCCGAATATCCGAATATTCGTTCGTTGGAGTACTATTCGGGTGTCAATTTCGTTATTCGTATTTTTCGAATGTATTGAAATCTCCAATATCAACAGCTCACTTAACCATAAACTTTATCTTTTACTTTCTCCGTCTTTATATGTAGATATGACTTTTCTCCGTTAATCCCCGTCACGTTGTTTCCATAGCAACAACACTTCCTGTCAACAGCGCTAACTCTCCTTCAAAAATAAAAGCATGTCCATAAAAAATAGGAAGCCAAGCCAAATTACACTTAAGACATATATACAACTGCAACGAAAGTAACAAACACAATGCAATATCCTTTTCAATTTCAAAGAACACATATTGGGTTACATTAACAAATAACTATAAAACAACAATACTGTAGAATAACAAAATGAATGCCGTGAATAAACCGAAATACACGTGTTGAAGCGGTTCGCTGCGGGCCGAATATTCGCTGCTGATTACTACCGAATATCCGGAGCCCGAAAAATGGTATTCGGGACAGCCCTAATAAGAACACTTTACATCTGGTAGGTGATGCAGGGTGTACTGCTCCTCTTAGTATGGCACATGGTCATTTCCTCCATGTTTTACGTCTACACCTTTAACCCGTCCCTTTCCTCTCCTATCTGCAGGTTCCAGTTGGGGCGATAGCAGCAGCAGCAGCAGCAGCAGCAGCTCAGGGAGATCCCAATGGCTCGTTCTGAAAAATCTCACACCTCAGGTACACACATGTACATAAATGTATCAGTTAATCTGTGTTACTTTTTAATTAAATTCTACCTCATAGTTAGTACGTACACGGGCAAACATGTGTGGCACAGTTCTGTTAGTATTTTTCCCTGATGATAGAACTAGGGTGACTCGTAAAAGATTGGCAACTGTGAGCCATGGTACATTGTCTAAAATAAAAACAAATGGTACTTTTACATCCAGAGGCGCCCAAAATGGCTGTGTTCCGATCATTCAACAAACCGACCTAATAGAGGAAATGTTTGCATTATATTTGTCAGCAGTTCATTAACATCTGTCCCCTTCTGTTTGTTTGTGTTTCGTTCAGATTGACGGCTCTACCCTGAGGACTTTGTGCATGCAGCACGGCCCTCTGATCACATTCCACCTCAACCTGCCACACGGTAACGCTGTGGTCTGCTACAGCTCCAAGGATGAGGCCGCTAAGGCCCAGAAGAGCCTGCACATGTAAGGACACACACTCACACTCACACTCACTCACACTCACAAGTCAACCTAAACAGGAAAGGAGAGAATACAAACCTAGATTTCTGTTTGAGATTATCAGCTGATTATCAGGATTTGAACAATAATTACAATTGAAAACTAACAAAACCTTTTTTTTAAATCTCTTCAAAGCCAATCACGAACAGTTGTTTGAGAGACTGAATAGATAACTAATAAAAAGAAGTATGGATACGCATTGACAGTAGACGTCTTAGTTTTTAAGCCTGCGATCTTGTGTGCATGGGACGTTGAACATGACACACTAAACAAAAACTTCTATAACCTAATTTTCTACGCTCTCCAGTGTTTAAAAAAAACTGTATTAACGCACTGATTTAGTCAGGAAAATAGTTTGAATATGGAATCCAGCCACAGGATGTTTTGGATCAGCAGACCCTCTCACTGACCCTCTCACTGACCCTCTCACTGACCCTCTCACTGACCCTCTCACTGACCCTCTCACTGACCCTCTCACTGACCCTCTCACTGGCCCTCTCTGTCTCTGCAGGTGTGTTTTGGGGAACACTACCATTCTGGCCGAGTTTGCCAGCGAGGAGGAAATCAACCGTTTCTTTGCACAAGGGCAGTCACTGGCCACTCCCTCCTCCAGCTGGCAGGCCATCGGCTCCTCTCAGAGCAGAATGGATCAGTCTCACCCATTCCCCAGCCGCGCTCCTGAGCCCACCCAGTGGAACAGCAGCGACCTCCACAGCTCCTCCCTCTGGGGCGGGCCCAACTATTCCAGTAGCCTGTGGGGGAATCCCAGCGGCACCGAGGGGGGGAGGATCAGCAGCCCTTCTCCAATCAGCTCCTTCCTCCCAGTGGATCACCTGTCAGGGGTAGGGGACTCCATGTGAACCGCCTGCCAATCAAAACAGGCTGTGGGAAGGGTCAGTAGAGAATAATCAATAATCAGCAGAAGAAAATGAAAAAAAAAAAGTAGTTAAAAAAAAAAAAAAAAGCAATGGCACTAGTCGGACTCTTTCTCACTTACAAGAAATACAACAAAGCGGGGTCTCCCCTGTGGAAAACAAGTTACGTTTCTCTCTCTGCACATATGTCCACTTTGTTTTAGCCCAAAAACATATCAGTCGGAATACTTGAATCATGCAGGCCAATTCTATAATGTGAACGGATGGATATTTGCTTCCAGGTAGTGCTCTTTCAGACCGAAAAAAGCTTAAATCGAGCTCATTATTATATATATATATATATTTTTTGTTTCATTCGTCATGTTTATTTGAATTCCAATTATTTTCATTTTTAACGTTTTCTTTTTGTTTTTTTTGCATTTGTTTGCTGACAATGTTGGAGTAAGAGCTTTTTTAACTTTGCACTGAATGTGGTTTTTTCTCAGTATATATAATCTGCAATATAGAGGGAGCAGCCCGTTTTTCCAGTGTAGCTGTTTACTCATTGAGGTCCTTACCGTATGTGTGTGTGTATGCGCGTGCACGTGCACATATGTGCGCGGAAGTACTTTGTGTGTGTGCGAATGAGTATGTGTGCGCTCCTCTCTGCCTTGGCACGCCTACCTTACTGCGTTGTCGTGGAGTTCAAGATCAACAGATAGTTAAAGAAGAATAAAAGCTGACTTAGGAGGATTATCTGGTGATGGTAAAAGTGACATTAAAAAGTATTGCACCAATTTTGTTTTAAAACTAAAGAACGTTGAGCTCTGCAGTGCAAAGGACTGTAGCCGCAGCTGGGACTAGCAAGCCCCGCCCACCCAGTGTAAGGGGGCGGGGCCTATCTAGCAAGCCCTCCCACTAGCCCCCTAGTGGGCAGGGGGGAAACAGCACTTTCAGAATAGGCTTTCAATGTTTTGGAGGTGCCACACTGCAACCTCTTGTTTACAAGACTTAGGAGGCGGAACGTGTGTTCATTCTTCATTTTAAAGAGAAGATGGAAAAATAGAAAATAGTGGAAAAAAAATAAGAAAAAAAAAAATAAGAAAAAAAGTAAAAACTCTTATTGAGGATGAAGACGATGCTTTGTAACTCTGGGAATTCGGATCAGTGTTTTTGGCCATGGCGTTGGTTATTTGAACTATTCCTCTTTGTCTGCTAAATAACCAGCAATGGTTCTCAGGAAATCAAGCCAGTTTTCCCCCCCTTGTAGGTGAATTAAAAAAAAGAAACTACTACTCCTTGTAGGAAAGGAAAATCCAACTTCTAGCACTGAAACTATGTATAGGTCTGTACGTTTTATTTTCTCTGCCAAATAACTGCTTTAAGCTGGAGAAGCTCAACACACTGCTTTCAATATGCTGTCTTTTGAGGGACGGGGGTTCCTGATGTGGGCGGGGGTGGAGGACGGGCTGCAGACATCCCAATGCTCCCTCTCTCCTCCTCTTCCTCCACTCCTCCACTGATGTTAAAAATCAAAAGTGGGGAGTGTTTATTGTATGAGTGTGTGACTGTCAGTGGAAAATGCTCGGTCTTGTCAGACTTCTAAACCAAGAGAAAGGCGAATCTGTATCTATGCATACTGTAGCCTCTCACACGGCCTACTGAGACGCGTTTTTTGTTTTTTTTCTCACAAAATGTTTTAAATGTTTCATTAAGTACAACAAAAATGCAAACTATAACTTGCTTTTTTGTTTTTTTAATCGCTCTCATTGCCACAAATGGTGTTTTTGAAAAAAGGAAAGAAGAAAAAGCTTAAAAAATCTTTTTGTTTGGTTGAAGATAATATTTTAACAGTGCAAAAGTCGTCCACATTTCATTGCCTTGATCCTAATTGTGTCCGAAGATGCAACAACAAGTCAAGTGGCTTCTACCTGTTTACAAATAGAATATGATTGTATTGTTGTACTGTTCTTTTTTTTTCTTCCTTTGGGGTTGGGGAGGGAGGGGGGGGTACTCATCTGAAGTTCCTGAATTGTGTGTGTGAATGTGTGTGTGTTACGAGGCTCTGAACCGGCGGATGTTAGTCTAATCGGAGAGGGTCGTGTTGCGAGAGCGGCGTGAATGTAAATCCACCAGTGGTGTTTGTCGACTAAATACACGTGTGAATAATAGATTTACCTATCTACCAGTGATTGTTTAGTAACTATGATGCACAATTATCGGGGGAAATCAAAAAGCTTCAGAGAGTGCGCGAAAGAAGTCAGCATTAGCGAAGCCATGGACCTTAATTTCTTCATCGTGTAATTGCTCTGTGTTAAAGCCCGTGTGCGCGTGTCCCCTCTATAGGTTTTTATTTCAGAAGTACTAGAAAACGTTGGCTTAAGTTGTGTTTTTTTAAGTTAAGTCGTGAATCTTTAACAACTTCAAAGCTTGCGTAGTGAGACAGAACCTCGAGTATTAGCCAGATGTGACCGTGGTGTGTGCCAGTATTGAACTGCTCTCTACCAAATAATTCAATCATACAAAAGATTAGTTTACTTATTCCAGAATCTCTTTGCTTAAACTATACATATATATCTTATTTGTGTTTGTCTGTCAAGTGGAACATCTGAACCATATTTGTTATTCTTTGAGTTAACTTAATTTGACAAATTGAACTGAGGCGCCTTGGATTTTGCACTTGGGTGGATTAGAGGAGAAGGCCGAGCGAGCGGAGAGCAAAGCCGAGATGGAGGGCGTATTTGTTGATTATCAGGTCTGTCTGAGGGCGAAGATGCGTCTGAGTATTGTGACAGGGTAATGTGTGTGTGTGTGTGTGTGTGTGTGTGTGTGTGTGTGTGTGACTAGAGAAGATGGTGCTTTGTTGGCCCCCAGTGAGGGAGCAAGAGAGGGGCTTGGTCGTCCTCTCCAGGTTTACCTCTCACTGTTCGCCGGGCTGGCTCGCCACGCCGCCTGTACCGAGCCTGAATGTAGCTGAAAACGGTTTTGAAAAAAATAAAATGTACTTTGCCGAGACTCGATCTGCCTTCCCCGGTACCTGATCAGCCTCAAACATGGAAAAATATCAAGTAAATCAACCTTTGCTTTTTGTTTATGTATCTAAATCAGTATTTGGCAACTGTTCTTGACCACGCCCCATGTTGTTACGGCAACCGTTGCCGTGGAGACGCTCTTGTCTCGAGCTTGACTGAATCGAGGGTTCTTATTGGCCCGTAGCGACTTGGGAACAGGAATGAGACTTCTGATTGGCTGGTTCATCCTGGCTTTGTTGTTTTTATCAGGGACACGGGGTTATACTTGCCTTTTCACTGGCTGACCCAGGATCAGCTCTTCCTCTCCGACTCCTAAGCTTAACTACAGGAGAGGAAATGCAAAACGAGAACTGACAGGAAGTCCGGGGGCAAGTGAACTCCAAGCAGTCTATTTATTTACTTTCCGCATATATTTTACACTTCGTTCATTCTGATTTTTGGCAATGCTATTTCTCCTAGCGCTGATACCGGGAGTAGTTCTGTCCCTCGTCAGTATCCTTACCTTAACCAATAATGGGACTTAAACTGACCTCGGATCAGGAGCAGGAGGCCGCATCGCTCTGCTGTTAGAGAAGGGACAAGCAACGTCTGTAAAACGCCTCTCATTCATGTTAATGTTACTGTTTTGGTCTCCGGCTTAATCTCGCTCTGTTTCCGTCTCGTCGAATCTACTGTTAGTGTGAGTGTGTGTGGGGAGATGCAAAAACCCAGTCAAGTACAGAAACTGTGTGTATGTTCGAACACATTATCATGCCAAATCGAGGAGGGAGGGTGAGAGGGAAGGAAAGGGATTGATTTGATTTCTTTTCTCTTTTTTTGCGTGTTGTATAAGAAGTGTGTGTTTGTGTATTTAAAAAGAAAAAAAGCTGGACAATGTTAAATGCTTGAAGAAATCATTTGCAAAAGGATGATGTGAGGAAAACCACCACAAGCAATGTACAATCCCCAGGGCTGCCAAGCAGCTTTCAGACAGGGCCAGACGAGGGGAGGGAAGAAGGAAAGGAAGGAAGGAGGGAGGGAGGGAGGGTGTAGGAAAGGAGGGAAGCTGGCTGGTGATACTATACTACTTTTTAATGTTTAAGAAAAAATAATGTGACTCTGTTTTTCTCTTGAATTAACTATCCTGTGAGCAAATGCTATATTATATATCATAACACACCCAACGGCTCCTACTGTCGATCAAAAGGCTATTTTTGTTGACGCAAAAAAAAAAAAAAAAAACGAAAAAAAAACACAAACTGTGAGAATCTGCTGTTCGTCATTTTACATTTAGACACAAACAAAAACCCTGAAAAGCTTTAGTCTAACCAGCACAAAGATGTGGGGTGGGAGGGTCGGGGGGGGAGTTATCGGGGCGGGGGGAGGGTCACCATACAGAGGAGGGGGAGGGGCGCTCAGAGAGACTATGCAGTGGAGTGTTGAACCCAGGCTTCCATGTCCACCTTGGGTTTTTTGCTTTCTTTAAAAATAAAAAAACGTACAAAAAAAAATCCCAAAACTTTTTTAAAAACACAGTTCAGAAGGGATTCCCAATAATATTCCTCAAACATGTCGTGCCATCGTTGAATCGTACTACTAGTACTACTACTAATAATAATAAAACTGAAAAAACCTTTATTACCTAGCAAACCGTCGGGCCAGTTGTAGCAGGAGAGGAGGACAGGTTTAAGATTTGCAAAAGTCCATTTCTTTATTTTCACAGCTTGTCTCCTCGATAAGCCGAGGGGGCCGAGGCCGGTGAAAAACTGCAAATTTTACACAACTACAATGTTTTTTATAGAGATTCTATCAATCCACAGTGTGTAGTTGGATCACCTGTAAAACCTATTATGCACATTGCTTTGGGAGACTGTTGAAACTATATATAATATATATATATATGAGAATATAAACGTACAGTGTCTATAATCAACGAGGGGACGTCTTCCTCTCTTTACAAACAAAAACAGGAAGTACCTTTTTATTTTCAAATGTCTTCCTCGGGTCATCAAAAAGATTTTATCTTAAACTTCGGGGGAAACTGCACTTTTTGAAGGACAATCTTTATTTGTATGGGTATAAAATTGACAAAACGAAGTCGCCTGATATTACAAGGTATAGAAAACCAACTCCAGTGTGCTCTAATAATGAATGTCTCCTCTGATGCTGTCTTTGTTTGGTTTCATTTAATCTTTTTATTCTCCTTCCTTTGTTGCTTGGTTTGTTCTGTATTATTTTTTTCTCCTTATTTTTTTCTGGATTTTAGTGCTCTTAAGAGAATCTGTACTAAGGTGTAGAGTAGTGAGTAGTAGGTCTTCTGTTGGCTGTACTCGTATACTGATTACTGTTTGTAACCCTCCGGCTCCTGCAGCCGTCATACAAAGCTGTAAAACTTGGGTACAACCCTCAATAAAAGACTAACAATGACTCTGCACTTTTCTCCTGGACTCGTCATTTCTCCTCGCCTGCATCCATTCAAATGTTTTATCACTTAATGCTTCTGAGATATTCCTCACATGATTTTGTGCGTAGCTGTGTCAATTATGGGATGTCTTTACTTAATTTAGAGAACCCAAGTTTGCAGTTTTTATTCACTGTGACAAAAGTGTTTTTAAAATTAATATAAAAATGTATAAAACATTTTTTAAGAATCCTCAATTAGACACAAAGCTAAATGTAATGGGTTAACATGTTGCAACCAACCCTGAACCCTTGTTTCAGTTGCAATATTTGACATCCTTATAATAAATATTGTTGAATATAAGTCGTCATGTACTATTTATGTATGACAGATGCATGTTTAAAACGGAGTATTCTAATTTTATGGCTGGAAGTTTGTGTAAAAACAGCATTTTGAACTAATATTGCATCATAGATCATTTTTTTCTGATATTTTCAGAAACTTAAAATGTATTTTTCCAATTATACCTAATTGGCATCTTAAAATCATAACCCAAACGTTGGTAACCACCGCATGACATGGTTCAATTGACCCACTAATAGTTCATTTTTGTCCAATGGTTCCCAAAAACTACGGCTTGAATAATAAACTGTGATAAATACTTTATTGCCCAGTTGTCTTAGTGTACAACAAACCATAAAGTACCTCTAAAATTGTACCTAAATATAGCACTTTAGATAAGTTTATTTGTACTGTTTTGGGACAAAAATTAAAAATGACTGACAGTGAACTGGCAGTCATTTTAGTAATAAATATTAGAATACTGATGTCTCATAAGCCTTTTAAAACTTAAACATCTAAGGTGGCAACTGTTGAAAGGAATAAATGATACGTTGAGATATTTTGTGACCTTCAAACTCGGCTTATTTTAAAGGTCCCATGTCATGGCCATTTCTACTGATCATAATTCCATTGTTGAGGTCTACTAGAATAGATTTATATTGTGCAATTTTCCAAACTCACATTGGTTTCTCATACAGCATCTCATAGTATGTGTATTCACTCTGTCCTAAACGGCTTGTTGGAGCTCCTGCCCCCCCCCCCCCCCCTCTTCTGATGAGTCCACCACCGCTACAGCGGAACATCAGTGATTATGTGTTACAATGGCGTTGGCAACCAGAAAATGACACCAAGATGAGAATGCTGCGTGCCGTGTTGGCGGGACATTGCGCGGCTCGCTGCTGCGAGGAGCGGACAGTGTGAGCTGGGTTCATTTCCTGCTTGCTGCGTGGGGTCTGCGAAACATCGCGAATGGAGGGGGGTGCTGAGGGGGCTGCAGCACCCCCCCATCTGCGAGGCTCTTTGCAGACCGTTTACTTTACATGCATAAAAACCTTCAAAACACACAAGGGGACGGGTAATAACCGGAAAAGCATGACATGGGACCTTTAAAGTATACCACACAGCATCTTCAACATTTTGATATTAAAGGTAGGGTAGGTAATTTGAGAAACCAGCTTGAGGGCGCTAGAATTTGAAAATACACAGCCGGAACAAATCTGCCACTTCCTTACAGAGCCCCTCCTCCAACACACACGAACGCGCACATGACCAATGAGGGCACGAGATAAGTTTGTGCACAGATGGAAGGCAGGCAGGTAGGCCATCCAGGTACTTTAGCCGGGCCAGCTAAAATAATTGGTCGTGTTTTTTACAGTACTACGGCTTCCACAGATGACATTTTTTGTATGGATTTTTTGTCAAAGCACTTAAGATATTCATTGCTATCGGGATGTTAAGAGCATTCCATGGAATATAACAAAAAGTGTATCTCGAGCCGGTTTCTCAAACTTACCTACCCCACCTTTAACTCATGTTCATGCTTCTGAAATATGTGAATGAATATGACAGCAGAGACGTGCAGATCTATACATCAGGTGTATTTATTCAAGAGAAATGATACACCACATTATGGAGCTGGAAGAGGAAGAAAAAAAATCAAAACTGATATAACCATTTTGTTTATCTCCAAGCTCCGAAAGTACATGTTTATTTAAATACAGTCAAACACAAGACACGGCAGCTGACGTTGACGCTGCCGCAACGGACAGAAGAGCGAGAGGAAGTGGGAAGTGGACTTCCTGGGGTGGGGGGGGGGGGGTCTTGCTAGGGTCAACCTGTGTGGAAGAAAACAGCAAAGAGTGAGTACACAGTGACGCCAGAATGAATATATGTTGGTGAAGAGACAGGAAACGAACCTCTGCAGTGAACTAGAGAGCAGATTATTCGTAAATGTCCTTCTTGTCTGCGATGTACTGTACAATCTCGTCAGGAGTCATCAGCTTCTCTGCTTCTCCGTCAGGGATCTCAAAGCCTGCAGGAAGAACAGACGGAAACAAATTTAAATGTGTTTTTCTGTTCAAAGATGAGGCTAAATACATCAGCCAGCTAGCTGTTGACACGCAGTATGAAGACGGCTAAGCTAAAGGCGGCTAATGTTCATTAATTGAGTATTCAGTAGAAGTTTCGGACATTAAATGAGTGGGGTATTTACTGTCGTAGAACAAAATGTGAAAATCTCTTCAATACACTAATTTATATAAATAGTTATCACCGCAATAAACCACATTTAATTTAATATTCTGTTCTTGTACATATCCCATATTCTATTGACATGTATATAGACTTTTTGCACTATTTTTCTTTTTGTATTTTATTATATATGTTGCATTGTTGGAGGAGCTCAGCTCAGAAGAATTGTATTGCCATTTCTACACTGTAGCTTTGAGCATATGACAATAAAACCTTTGAATCTTGAATTTGAATCTTCAGCTTGTGTTAACGAGGGTTAGGGTTAGTTGTAGTTTTGTGTGATTTCACGGCACGCTGACTCACCGAACTCGTCCTCCATGGCCATGATGATCTCCACCTGGTCCAAACTGTCCAGCCCCAGGTCTTTCATGAAGTGGGAGGTGGCCTGCAGCTGAGGAGCCGACAGTCACAGACATTAAAGTCTCACAATCGCTTTGTTTCTGAACAAAATCTAACAAAATCTCAAGCCATGTTCAGTTTATGGTCTGCATATGAATCATGGATATTTAAAATAAAATAGCTGGATAATCACTACGCCATTTTGTAATGGACATTTTTGACAATGTTTTCAGACTTGATGGTTTCGTCCCTTACCTTCTCGGGGTTGATCTTGTCGTAGAGCTTCAGGACGTACAGGACGCGTTCTTCGATGCTTTCTAGGGTGAGGGGGGGCAGATGAGCATACTGTCGGCACAACACGTCCAATGAGGGGAACTGAGGAGGAAGAAGAGATGAAGAGGCGTCAGGAACAGAGGCTATAGGTTGGATGAAGGTCATGGAAATGGACAGAGGACAAAGAAACAAGCTACTGAATTAGCTTACAGCTGTTTATGCTCACTTACAATCTGTGTGTCTAAATGTTACTGGCACAAAATGATAGCAGGCTCTAGCCAAAAAGCGCTTAAATAGACACAGCACTATTAAGGTAACAGGTGGGTGGTTATTTTAAATGTTCTCCCTTTTCTTTATGTACAACACTCAATAGTGCACACGTGCCAAACTATAATTAAGAGACTTAAATTAGCATACAACTTAATATGCTTAGAGAGTATTACTGAAGAGATGCTGTAGGAGGGATGTGAAATGTCACATTTTTATAAGAAATCTAATGTTTTGTTACAGGCTAAATTATTTGAGGGGATATGCTTTAGTGCCAACTACTAATCCAAGCTGAGACATGAGTATAACTGTCTCTCAATATGACACTAATGTATATTCTCTGTAGGCCATTAACTCCTATCATGCATTTACATTTCAAATTAATCCTATATGATGTGTAGTATTTGATCTTTTATCCCCGACTGTTATAAAGGTTGATAGACTGAATGAATGAAATGTGCTATACGAACACAACTGTCTTATGTTCGTTCTAAATAGTCGAACCAATGTTGGTTGTACATTACTTTCGGTTAACGACGTGTAGCGTTATATTATTTTAGTTGTGGACATTAAAGTATCATAAAATAAGTCATCATGCTTCCCACACTTCAGAAAACAGTAATTGATCAAGCTAACATCACACACAGCACAAAAATACAAATCTAAGCACTATGTCCATCTAACAAGCCCGATTATCTATTAACCATATAACTACAACTAGCTGTGTAGCGTTAAAAGGCGATTAGGTTTAACTTTAAGTCTCCACATGTCTGTAAATTGAAGGTGAAACAGGGACAACAACACAAATGTGTGTCCATTAGCTAACAGGCTAGCTGCGCAACTGCAGAATATGGCTGTTGTGCAACCAAAAATAAAACGTGTTCATATTCAGTGGACTTCAGGAAGGATGTCCCACAGACATATGTTATAAGTGGTATATTAAACTACTCGCATGGCATTAAGAACTTTTATCGCGCCGGGTTAGCCTGACATATTTGAAAGGCGTCGGTAGGTCACCGCTGTTTAGGCCCCGACGGCTCAATGTTACCGGAGACTCACCCGGTTCACACACCGCGTCCTCCGGTCGGCCGAGTAGAAGGAGAGGGCTCTGTGGAGAGGAGCTGCCGGGACCACCGCGGCTCTGAGGGCCAGGGGGCCGGAGGAGAGCCTCAGCGTGCGGACACAGTGCTGCAGGACACGGGCCGCCATGACAGAGAAACAGTGACTAAAGGATCCCAGCGTGCAACGCGATGAAGAGACGAGATCATGAGCTACCCTGTACGCATGTGCACAACTCAAACTGTGTTTAATTCTTATTTTATTATTTAGGTTATTTGATTGTGTTTGTGCGGTTTATAATGCAATCAACTTATCATATCCTATAAAGAGATATCTTTTAACATTGGATTTCATAAAAAAAGTATTTCAAAGGTGATAGAATTGATTTTAGGAAGAAATAATCGATAACAGAAAAACACAACGGATTAGTTGTTTCATAATTACCTTACCCCTTGACACAAATAAGTAGAATATTTCTACACACTAAAAATGCAATAATGTCTCAATCAGCACGATACAGCTGAAATATATCAAACAACAGATAGTTTAATTTGCTTGGCTTGACGAAATGCATCGATTATTTGGCACTCAACTAGTTTTGCCTGACAGCAGAGCAGCAACACAAACTGTGTCTTTATTTGGAATATTTTATTTTATTTTGAGAGATTGTTATGTTATTTTAATAAATGTTTCCTTAAATGTAGTTAACTAAAACACCACATGTTATTAAAATTAAATATACTAACTTGCACACGAGTTATGATTAATCTCAGGGAGGACTAATCAATAACAGAACAATATAACGGAAAAGTAGATTGATAATTACCTTGCCACATGACGCAAACGAGTAGAATATACACTTCATACACATTCAAAATGCAATATACAGTTACAAGATACAACTCAAATAAAGCAAACACCGGTGGATAGTTTCATTTGTTTGGTTAAATGAGATATATCGATGATTTGTCACTTGACTCGTTTAGTCTGAGAATCGCAGAGTCGGCAGAAGAAGAGAGCTGACAGCAGAGCAGCAACACAAACAGAGGACTATTATCACTAAATTGTCCCCATTTTACTTAATATTTAATTAGATATATACAATATTCTATTTATTCCCAGCCATGGAGTTGTCAGAAATACTGTACAACAAAGCGGAGTACATTGAGACGGTAATATGTGTGATTTTAATCCGTTGTTAGCTAGCTTGTTGCTAACCGTAGCTGATCTGGGCGTTGGGCGTTGAATAGCTGAAATCATTAGTAGACAATAAAGACAGAAACTCACTTTAATGCAGTTATTAATAATGTCTGTCGTTGTATTTCAGGCTTCTGGTAACAAAGTGAGCAGACAGTCAGTGCTGTGTGGGAGTCAAAACATCGTACTCAATGGCAAAGTAAGGAAAACAGACTGCTCGATAGTGTTATTCATGTACTTTATTAGGCTGTGACAAGTGTTTTATTGTGTGTGTTTGTATGTCCAGACTATAGTAATGAATGACTGCATCATCCGAGGGGACCTGGCTAATGTCAGGGTGGGCAGACACTGTGTGGTGAAGAGCCGCAGTGTAATCCGACCACCTTTCAAAAAGTTCAGCAAAGGGTAAAGCATAATTTTCTCTGTTTCATTCTAACAGATAACAGATAGAATTACAGATGTGTATTTTGTACCTGAATGAACACTTCTTCCTGACATCAAAGATACATATTTATCTGTTTAACTCTAAGTGAGTTGCAGTGTCAGAGATATGATAAATACCAAACGTATTTATAAGGAGAGAGAGCTAGCCTGGCACTGAGCTTGTGGAGCTAAAAGCCTCAAAAACGCACATCTCTTTTTAGAAATCTTTACGGATTCAAGATAATCCACGGGCCTGTTGTGAAAAGTTTTACGAAAAACACACTTTCTGCCAAACTACCCTAATAGATGGCCGAAAGGCGTATGCGTAACATTTACATCTTGCTTTGTCTGTCTCTGATCAGTAGATCTAGTTTTTCAAATGTATTTTTGGCGCTTTGACCACCAAAGGCCAACTGCCATCTTCCATTGTATTTAAGGGAAAGCACTTGCATTCCGCATTAAAACAGTCCACAGACAAATAACACTTCAGATATGTATTTATGCTTTGGGGGCAAACTGTCCCTATCATTTCTGTTTCCTATGACTATTCAACAAACACCTGACTGTATTATCTTTCTGCTCCCACCCTCCATCTCTCCCTCCAGAGTGGCTTTTTTCCCGCTGCACATCGGAGACCACGTCTTCATCGAAGAGGACTGTGTGGTCAACGCAGCGCAGATCGGTTCCTACGTCCACATTGGGAAGAACTGTGTCATAGTAAGTGGGATGAAAGCACACATACACAAACATCTAAGCAGAACAAATGATAAGGGAGAGGGGATATAAACAGAGCAGTGTCTCCTCTAGCCTGTGGTGAAACAGTCACATGATAGTCATGTTCAGATGAACTGAGCGCAGGCAGGCACAGATCTGGGATGAAAAATAAAAGGAACACATTTAATTAATTAAAAATATATTTTATTGCCAGCGAGCAGTTTTGCCGGAGCTCATTACATTTTATCACCATTGCGTTACTACATGCCATAATTGAAAAAGAGAAAATTACAATTATTTTATAAACAGAGAATTCTGTTAATTAAATCAAAGAAAACCGCAGAATTTTCATAAGAATATTCATGTGAAATAGAAAAAGCACTACAATCCAATAAACATTTAAATAAAATAGTTGACTTCCTACTTGTCCAGTGCATTAATACAATAGAGAGGCGAAGTCCCTCCCTTTCCGGGGGACCTCCATGGGACCTTATTTCGGAAAAAGTATGTATTGAAGTCAATGGGGAGAGAAAGATTATCTTTCGATCCTGTTTGAATTGTGCCACGAATTACACATATGATGTTTGTCAATTTAAAAGATAATTTTGCAAGTCAAAAAAACTGTGAAGTAACACTTTTTTTGTGTGAAACCGCTCAATGAACTACATCTCCCGTCTCGCACCACACACCAAGACGGCCGTCACGTTGGCACATTTCACTTCTTTCTTTCAGAATGAGGCGAAAAGTATTAAAAGAGGTGAAAATCACTCCAAGTCTGGGCATGTTGAGAGCTGTACATACACAGAAGGGGAGTTAGTCGGTTCCGTAAGAGCCGGCATGCGGGACCGGGATTCTGGGATTTGTAGTCTTTCTAGTTGCGTATTTTTCATAGTCTTATATTTCAACAGTTTTACGACAAACTGACTTTTTTTACATGGAAATTATTTTTTAAGATTGACAAACATCATATGTGTAATTCGTGGCACAATTCAAACGGGATCGAAAGATACGTTTTCTCTCTCCATTGACTTCAATAGAGTGGCGAAGTCCCTCCCCTTCCGGTGGAGCCCCATGGGACCTTATTTCGGAAAAGTTATGCATTGAAGTCAATGGAGAGAGAAAGATTATCTTTCGATCCCGTTTGAATTGTGCCACGAATTACACATATGATGTTTGTCAATTTAAAAGATAATTTTGCAAGTCAAAAAAAAAAAAAAGTGTCGTAAAACTGTGAAGTAACACATTTGTTTGTGTGAAACGCTAAATGAACTACATCTCTGGTCAACAACACACGTGACGTCACCAAGATGGCCGTCACTACTGTCTTGTCAACACAACGACCCTCACTATCACCACAATGAAACACGTCCTGAAGAATGTCATGCAAAGCTGCCTGCCTGCCTTCCTTTGATTCTCTCTGAACTGCCTGGTCGTTTTAATGTTTAATGTCAACCATTTGTGCAGATAGCATGAAGTAGAGAAGATCGCCGATGCTAACGTTAGCGTTAGCATTTCTCCCCCGGGCTTAAATGGTGTATTATAGAATGATCACACCGGTGACAGTACTATTCAAAGGGTTCACGAAATATGACTACTACTCTTACTGTTTAACATTTTGGGTTACTTAATGTTACTTCATGTTAAGGCTAATAAAAATGACAAGGCTGTAATGCTAACTAACGTGCTAGCTACTAGCTAGGTAGCTAACTTGATCCACACACTCCTCTTTCATCAGACGGGAAGCGAAAGAACGAGCAAGACCCATTGCTGGTATAATAACAACCTGGTACTAAGCACACAGGCATCTTGTTAAAGTTATCTTATCTTAGCCAGCGCCATATAGATAGATTATATCTATATGGCGCTGATCGTATATATACGGTATTATACGTATATCGTAGTGTCTCAATTGTGACATCACTTACGCGACTCTGGGATTTGTAGTCTTTCTAGTTGCGTATTTTTCATAGTCTTATATTTCAACAGTTTTACGACAAACTGTGACTTTTTTGACATGGAAATGATTTTTTAAGATTGACAAACATCATACGTGTAATTCATGGCACAATTCAAACGGGATCGAAAGATAAGTTTTCTCTCCCCATTGACTTCAATGCATAATTTTTCCGAAATAAGGTCCCATACCCCGGAAGTAAGTGGGAGGGACTTCGCCTCTCTATGCAGCTCTTATTTGGAGTAATGAGGTCACATGACATGGAAGCTGTTAAAAAGACTTGAGAAATGAGACCCTGGAAAAGTACATTCTGTGATGAATTTCCCCTATATTAAAATGTGTTTATGATTCTTCTTGTCTTCATCTTTTTATAATACAAGTATGTAACTTTTAGGTATTTTGTACACATGGATGTTTTTTTACTATGATGGTTTTTACATATGTTATTCAATACATACATTCCCAACACATGAAAAATGGTTGAGACCAAAAACAAAACAGGAACTAAATTCCAATTCAGCCCAGTGTCCTTTTGACTATAAAGATGCTTTCCCCTGCATTATCCTGAAGTGTCTCAATCCATCGTGTTAACTGGTTTTATGTGCAGGGTCGGCGCTGTGTGCTGAAGGACTGCTGCAAGATCTTAGACAACACCGTGCTCCCTCCTGAGACCGTGGTGCCGCCTTTCACCGTCTTCTCTGGATGTCCAGGTCAGCTCCAACACACACACACACACATACATACATACATACATACACGCATACATACACACACATATTTATATATATATATATATATATACATACATACATACATACATACATACACACATACATACATACACACATACATACATACCAGGGTTTCCGCTAGGATTTTTTCTTGCCAGTAATAATTTATTTTACCGGACAAATTCGAAACTTACCGGTCATGTTTCAATAATAATAAGAATAAGAATTGTGTAGCACAGTTTCCGTTAGCAGGTAATTAACGGACTATGACCGGATATGCTGATGTTTAAAACTCAGTTAATGGGGCTCATTTTTATATTGCTTCAGTTTATAATCGTAACAGATCGAAAAGTTCAGATTCATTTTTCAATAAATGATTCCACAAACAACATCATTATTACATTCAAACAAACTACTTATAGTAGATAAAGTACATTATTTAAAAGTTTACATTAACTTTGGATAATAACATGGGAGAAACGGATTCTCTCTTTTTCCTCTCTCCCTCTCTCCTGACAGCCCATCAGTTTCTCATGCAGCTCGCTAAACAGCGGGCGGGGCTTCAGGTGATCATGCAGAGCTGCGTGTCTCCGTCAGACTCAGCAGCTGATCTGATCTCTGATCTCTCTCTCTCGTGTCCGGTTATACTTCACTCGCGTTTATGTCCATATCGATCAGATCCAGCTCTCCTGATCGGCCTTTATAGAGAGCAGCGATCAAACTATTAAGAGTGAATATCGGCCGATAATGATCGGAGCATCCTAATTATTACATTTTGACCGGCAGGTTTTGAATTTACCGGTTTTTAATAAATGTTACCAGCTAAAAAAACGGTAATTACCGGCTAACGGAAACCCTGATATATACACACACACACACACACACACACACACACACACACACACACACACACACACACACACACACACACACACACACACACACACACACACACACACACACACACACACACACACACACACACACACACACACACACACACACACACACACACACACACACACACACACACACACACACACACCAGATCCTTTCACCTTGTGTTTATCTACCATATCTTTACCTGTGTCCATCTTTCTCTCTCAGGTCTGTTTTCAGGAGAGCTCCCAGAGTGCACACAGGACCTGATGATCGATGTAACCAAGAGCTACTACCAGAAGTTCCTGCCTCTCAGTCAGATCTGAGTCCTGCCCCAAAAACCGTCAGCAGGATCCAGACCCTTTCCAGATGCCAGTGTCAGGTCAGGGTGGGGGTCTCTCATCACAAATGGACTCTGAGAGCTCACCTTCTATTCCTCCACCTCCCAAAAGACCCTACGTTTATCTGCTATTCACAAACACTTGGTCCTGTATAAAAACCCTTATAAGATTGTAGTGTTTGAGAATGAGAAAAGCACATGAGAATAACATCTGATATAGCTGCAAGAGGTAGTATGCAGCTCCAACATTGAAAAGTCTTTACAAATACAGAAATTGTATAAGGTGTTGTCATTGAACTACCCACAGCAAAGCAGTATAAGATGCTTTCAAAGGGCACAAATAAAGACCCTACAGGCACTAGTAATTTTTCCGGATGAATAATGTTCATGTTTTCTGCTTAATGTGATGTGGAGAAACTCAAGGATCTCTGTGTAGCTGCAGATAATCACATTCTTCACTCTATGACAGCAGCTGTGGGTGAAGATGAGGAGGTGGTGGAGCTATGAAAGGAAGGAGGTGCCTGTATGACACCCATGGACCAAAACACTAGCAACAACAGTGATGTTTAAGGATGTTGGCATTTAAACATGCCACATTTAAATACACACTGATATCAGCACTTTTCGAAGGCTATTCGTTGTTTTACTCATTTTATTTCTAATTTGAAGAACTTCTTTGCATTCTCCTCCACTGGCCTATGTTTTGTTTTTATTTAATAATGTGTTTTATGTCTTTACTTTTCAAATGATCAACTGCAGTGTTTTCATTTTAATTTGTTGATTTGTGCAGGACAGCCCCCTGTGCTTTGCCTTTGTTGAACTCTGTGACTATACTGTAGCCAACATCTAAAATAGTGCAGCAATCAAATAAATACAAATGCTTGAACATCTGCCTCACATGGTCTCAGCTCTGCCTGCTTTAACAACTATTAACCACTTGTTTTCCTCCAGCAACTGTGCAAATGTTTTAATCTGTGATTCCTAATATATGCCACAGGGCTTTATATCTTGTATTCTATTGGATGTTATGACATCTTTGTAAGGTACTTGGTGGTGCAATGTTTTATTTGTAGTGTGCACGCGCTTGGGCACACTGGTTACATCGTCAATTTGGTTGTAATTCGCAACCAAGCATAACATTATGCCAACGAAGGATAGGAAGAATCGACTAAACAAGTAATTACATATTTAAACTATTCAATAATGGGCTTTATGTTTCATGTTGAAATAAATGCATTCAACAGGTTTTAAATAAAACTCAAGGATACAGGGTTTAGGAAAGAAAACATGTAAACATGTTTTGTTTATATGAAAAATGCTCAGTGCAACTTTAAGCTAATTAAGCTTTAAAGCAGCCTGTGGTGTTTTGTTTTAAACAACATTTGTCTTTACGTTCGTGTTTTTTTCCCTCACAAAAGCTGTATGATTATATGAGGTCAAACAAACGTGTGGGATATATTTCCTTCCCTTAAAATGTTTGCAAAGTTGTTAGCATCCATGTTTTATTACTAGCTTCTTACGGCATTTGTGATTTGTTAGCACACTGCTGTGGGTTTTGGCGCGTTACTGCCACCTGTTGGGCGAGAGGTATACTGTAAAACCCAGATACAGTTTATACAGGCTGTGGTTAAACCAAGTAGTACTATTTATTTCTTTAAGCATTGGCTGGACAGTTTATAGAGTCACCTGTTTGTATGTACGTTTCACAGGAGACAAACACTCCATGGACCCCCTTGGTTTAAATCATATATCTACTAGAGTTTGAAAAGTCCATAAAGAGACTATAAAATAGTAGAAAGGATTAGATCAGAATCAGAATCAGAATACCTTTATTAGTCCCACAGAGGGGACATTTGCATCGTTACAGCAGGAAAGAGCCACAGACAGCTTAATGTTACCTATGTTAAGAAAAAAGTACTAAGTTATGATATAATAAAAAAATATAATATACAAAATAAAAGTAAAAGAAAAAATACTTTCCAAAATACAAATCCTGTAACAGTTCTTAGGATTTAGCAGCCAGGTATATATTACACAGTTATTAATGGCTTATGTATATAATGTATATATTGCACATATAGCACATATTGCACATAGTATGATGGTATTTAACTGCAGCAAGTTACACAATTTACAAGATACAAAATGCAAAAAAACACACCTTGTAACGGTTCTAAGGATTAGCAGCCAGTTATAAATTACACAGTTATTAACGGCATATATATATTGCACATATAGCACATATTGCACATAGTTCATTGGTATTTAGCAGCAAGGGGTGATATAGCCTGTGTTGTTGTGTGTGTAGGGGAGGGGGGGGGTCTACTAGGGGCTGTGCTGGTTGTATAGTCTGACCGCTGCAGGAAGGAAGGACCTGCGGTATCTCTCCGTGTGACAGCTGGGGTGCAGCAGCCTGTCGCTGAAGGAGCTGCACAGTGAGGACAGGGTGTCCTGGAGGGGGTGGGACATATTGTCCAGCAGGGAGGACAGCTTGGCTGCCATTCTCCTGTCTCCCACCACCACAGTGTCCAGAGGACTCCCCAGGACAGAGCTGGCCTTCCTTACCAGTCTGTTCAGTCTCTTCCCGTCAGCAGCCGAGATGTTGCTGCCCCAGCAGGCCACACCATAGAAAATGGCTGATGCCACAACAGAGTCGTAAAAAGTCTGAAGGAGTGCCCTGCACCCCGAAAGACCTCAGTCTCCTCAGCAGAAAGAGTCTGCTCTGTCCCTTCTTGTACAGAGCAGCATAATTATCAGTCCAGTCCAGTTTATTGTTCAGGTTTAGAATTCGACTCAGTAATAAGTGTCACTGTTAAAGATAGTTGCTACACTATCAGAACAGGGTCACGCACACTTTGCAGGCCTGTATGTCCCCATCACAGACCCGTGGCCATGACATGTGGAAAAGTAACTTTTTTTCTCCCAATGCTGTTCTTTGGCATCATCTTGTGGATTAAAGCAGTGCCAAGATACGTGTAATGTATGTGACCCTTCAATAACTCAGTCCAGAGAAGAAGGCACAACTAACTAAGGAACAACCGGAACAACCACTCCCAAAAAATACATTTGAAATACTATAGTGACTGTCATTTCATTTCTTTTTTTTGTGACCAACTTTTTATTGTTTTTTTTTGTGTTTGCCCTCACAGAGGGACTTATATACACAGATACAAATTATATAGACAATATAGACAATAATACAAAAAGAAAAAGAAAAGACAAAGAAATATAGGGAATCCCTTTCCCATGCCACCCCTTCCCACCCATCTTGCCATTTCACAGAAAATCCTACCTGATGTTTGTTAGCAATCGTCTGAGTTCATCTATTATATTATATATATTATTTAAATTATAGCATAACAATTTATCCACATAAAATACATTCATACCTTTTTTTTTTCCACATAACATTTCATCTGTTTGAGCTGAATTGAGATTGACTCCTAATAATCTACAATTGCACCAAGGTGTGCATATATGTACAATCATAATTTACATGAATGATATTACTAGATCAGCAGCTCTTTGAATAGCCTCTAATGTTTCTGTCATTTCATTTCTATAGTGACAGAAATATTTTTCCCATTTCGTTTTAACACACAAGGCTCCTCTAACTACCAAACAGATCACTGTTTCTTGCTTGTGAGTCATCTCTTGTGAAATGCAAACTATTCTATAAGTGCTTACTGCTGCTCATTTGCATGTCAGATTTAAATGCAACCAGATCTATCCGGTCTATAGGGGGAACCTCTGGTGCAAGTTTTTGAGTTCTCAAAATATACCTGCGAAGTGTGTTAAAATGAAGAGTAAAAATAAGCTTCCTTACTTGGCCTAAAAAGGTTTGCTTTATTCATTTACAATACACTTTGATGACATGCCACTTGCCCTTTATTTTCCATAAGCTCAAGAGGTGCAATTGTACAAATTAAACACTTCTGTACGAACCCTTAATTAAATATTAAAGTGGACCTATCATGCTATATTTGAATAATATAGTGTAGGACCATACCTATATAAAGGCATATTTATACTTTTTTTTTTCAAAATACCAAACAGATCATGCATTTTAGCCATGCCTCATTTCGCTCAATTTGAAAAATGTTAGCTGTTTTTGCAAGGGCTGATTCTGTACCACCTACAGGCCTGGCATATGCACTACAGCGTCTCCAGCGCTTTCGAACGGCAATGGCCGTGGCTGTCTCCTCCTGATTGGTGGAGTTGGCCCAATAGCCGTAGCGCCACCGTCCTGACGTCAGGACAGTGTTCAAATCTGGATCAGTTTTTATCAGATCCGTTGCAGCCCCTTTTTTTAGAGATTTGGGTATGGAGGAAAATAGAGAGGGTTGTGTTTTCTGACACTTGGTGAGTTCCCTGGAACACCGGGGACACATATTCATGTATAAAAGACGTACAAAAGTGCATTTTGCATGATAGGTCTCCTTTAAGCAAAAATAAATAAACAAAAGTAACAAAAGAAAACTCCATTTACTTTTCTTTAATGAAACAGACGATCCATTTGCAACTCAATGGTTTTATTTATTTTACAATGTGAACCACATATATCATACCAACAATTAAATGTTAAGTATATAGATTAGCCATTTATTACTTTTTAAACAAATAAGTATCAAGAAACAGCTGATAATAGTGTTGGCTCCAGAGACACGTGGCATGACTCAGCCTTTTTGAGAACAATGTGGATGAAGGCCGGTGATTGGCTCGGGGGAAGAAAAGAAAAACACAAAGTGCACCCCCCCCCCCCCCTAATAACCCAGCTAATCAATGCAGGTTGAACAGGGGGATTAGAAAGATGGCAGCGTCCTGCCAACTCGCTTTAGTCCTGCCTTTTGAGGGGGGGGGGGGGGGAGAGAAACTGTCAGCAGCCACTTCACGTCTTCCCTTTGTTGTCATGCAACAGAAACACTGGGGAGGATAACCACTCATTTGTAACATCACGCACCATTTGGTTTCAGTCGATGTGGAGTGCTAGACGCAAAAACAGTGCCCGGAGAAAGAGCAACTAAAATATCCAAAATGCATTCCTCCGATTTAATTAAGAGCGTGTTGACAGGTCAGTTCAAAGGATTTACATAATCTCCGTACACTGCCATTGGCTGTCTTTAAGGGCCGAAGTTCCTATTCAATAAACATTGATCCTTCCTATGTTACATTATTAACTAGCCTTGTGCTAGCTGAAGCTAACCAGGACATACATTTCTTGCTTTTTAGAAATATGTAAAGCATGAATCCTCACCATGAATTACTTTTTCTGTAACCAACTCAAAACTCCATTTGGATCTATTCGTTTTAAATCAGTCCAACTCAGTGGTTTCCTTTGTATGTAAGAATAAAGTCTTTGACAGAAGCAACACATCTCAGCCTTTTCTTTTCCACCAACAAGCCAGATATGATGTATGAATATAAAAGCCAACCTATAACGCAAAAGAAAATTGAAATCTGTGACGAAACTGTAACAGAAGTTAAAAACTGGCATGCTTTATACAACTAAAGAAAACCCACTTTTCCAGGTCGTACAAATAGAAGGGGAGTGAACGAAAAGGAGGATGAGGAGAAGGAAACAGTGACGTCTCATTGGTTCAGCTACAGCGGGTATTACAGGTCAAGTTTAAGCCAACATTTACTCTATCACTAATATGGCAGGGCATCACTGGGGATATTTATATTTGATAACTCAAGATTTTTTAATAATTTAAACTTTGTTAGCATCCTATGCTAAAGGAGACCAATTGTGCAAAAACAACTTGGATATACTCCAAGTATCTTTCAATATAAATCATAAAAAAATTCAATCCAGTTCTTCTTACTTGAACTTGAAATTTCGGACTCGTGCGGTATCACTGACTCTTCACCGTTACAAAATGATGGAAGGCAACAACAATTTGAATTAAACCAGCGAGGATATTCATCATCCTGTAAAAAAAAGCCTCCACGTCGTATTAATGCACACGGCCCTGATACAAAAAAGCAGACCAACACCCAAACTCCAGCCAGATAATGCAATAATGTGTGTTCCGACTGGCGTGTTTCGTGGGTCTATTTAGAAACGCTACCTTTGTAAACGGTTCTGTGATTTTTGCTTTCTTAACAGCACCGACTACCTTCCGATAAACCATTTGTCAGGCAGGGAAAGACTCTTTAATACAAGTAGAGCCCATGTGCGGAATTGTTTGAAGGGTTGTTGGACCAAAAATGTGTGTTTTTAGTCATACCGAGTGTTTACTTCCTCTAAGCAGTGAGTGTTGTGCTAATCTAGGCTACATCTGGGATATAATGGAAGAGCCAATTTGTTTGCATGAGTTAGAGGTGAAAATTAAGTGCAGTCCTTATTGCAACTCAGAATAATCACAAGATCACATAAAAGAACAGTTGCTTTTTGTATAAGACTAGGGTAAAGGGGTGAGCTTTATGACAAGCTGTATTCACAAATAAAAAATAAAAAACAGAAAGAATGTGGAGAAAGAATTAACTTGGCTATCAATGCTGCCAACAAACCTAGAATTTTAACACTGGTGGTTTGACGAACTAATGAAAATGGCGACTGGCTTTACTAAATGGAGCCATAGTTGAAGCAGAGTTAGCGGAGAGTAAAGTGACGTGCCATCGACCTGGAGAAATGTAACTGAAGCTAGATGACCCCACACCTGTCCTACTGCGATTCAGCTCACCCACCGACGACAGTGGAGCAACAGAAAGATCACGTGTTGGTCGCAGAGGGTTGAGTCTCTGACAGAGTTGGGGCTCCAACGTTTGGCGAGCAACTCGGTTCACTGAGTGAGACGATCATGGCCCTCACTTCCTTATTAAGGTGGCGGGTGAGGATGAGTGGGGTTCAGGGAGGGAAGGGCACAAATGTGTCGAGGATCAAAGTGGCTTTTACTCGTCGAAGCAGCACAGTGCGTGTTTGAGAACTGTCTGTATCCCATGATGAGTCTTCCTTCGTTGTCTCCTTTCCGGGGCGGGGGCGATGGCGTCCGGACCTCCTCGTCACACACACTCATTAAGTGTTCTGATTGCAGTGATTTGTAGCAATAGAGCAGGGAAAGGAGACAAGGAATAGAGTAAATTCACCACCAGAAAAGAGCAAACGGGGACCATCTGTCTGCGTTTTCAGACGTTCTTCTGCACAGCCAGGCAGCTGAATGTCTGTCCATCCCTCTGTGCATCTGTCCCATGTTCGCCCCTTCAACCCCCTCCCTCCCTCTCCTAGCCTTGGCTCTGAAGGCTTACCCCCCTCACACACACACACACAGGCAGGCAGCACATCAGATCATCCTGTTGCGTTTGTGCGTAGGAGAGTCTGTGATGACATCGCTGCACTGGGTGGAGTTTCTTTTCCTGGCTCCTCCCCCTCCGGCGGAGGCTGTAGAGTCCAGATGCAGCGCCATCTCTTCCGAGATGAAAGTGTTCAGGTCGACGTCCTGGAGCCCGTTGCGCCGGCTGCGGCACACCGGCCCCGATCCGGAGGAAGCGCCTACGCCGGCCCCGCCTCCGTTACTGCTGCTCCCGCTCACATGTGTGGGAGACCCTGGAGCACCGGAGCGGACGCTGATGCTCGCCATGGCTCCACTCAGACCTGTGGAGGGAGGAGGAAAAGACGGGATCATCAATCAAATCTGATATATATTGTTCAATATCACTAATTACACATTTGCTTCAGGGGGCTTTACAGTTGTACCTCTATACGGTGTGAAGACAAGGAAAAACTGTAGCAACAGATGAGGAACCCTCTCTCAGGACGGACAAACGGGCAATAGATGTGTGTATAGAGAATAAAATTAGAACATAGAAAATCTAAATGACCAAAAATAATGAAAGAACACGAAAGAAAAAGGCATTCTTTGGAAAATAGGACGGATGAGCAATCTTGATCTTGAAAAAATCCATCCTGTTATGTCAGGTTTCATAATTTATTGCAACACCTTCATCAATGTGGTTTTTGGATAGCCCAACATTTACTGACAACCAAGCAAGCACATCATAGGTGCATTAACTTAGCATTTGTCTGGGGAAAGTACGCTGGACACACATGACCACAAAGATGGTATCTGTAAGTGTCTGAGAAAATATATTTTGGGGAAAAAAGTGTTGCATCGGCATTGCTTTGCCATATCAAGCATTCATCTCAAGGGCATTACCCTTTTTCCTGAGATGTAAACAGGTATATTGAAGGTTTAGAGTTAGCCTTGCGATGGGGAAGGACACAGAAAGTAAACAGCTCTGTGACGGGACTTTATTTGTCAAAGTCACTCGCTCAGGCTGTTATTTGAGTGTGCGTTTCAGTCTCCCCTTTGGACTTCAGAAGAGAACGAGTAAGGTTCAAGCTTCTTCAGAATTACATTGTTAGGATGTCTGGCACATTACGGCATTTAAAGCAGCTACCTCAACACTAGAGCCAAAGAACAAAACGATTCCACAGAAGGTTAATCTCAACAGATGGGTTTTGTAGAAATAAATATGATGCATAAAGTGTCAAGTACAGTTTGTAATGTATTCATGACCCAGCATTTTAATGTAATTGATAAAAGCCTTCAACCAAGTGGTGATGTCATGAAATACGCAACTGATTTTGTGCTTCACATTTGTTCAAAATACTAAGTTGTGTCTGTAACAACAAATTAGTGAATCCTATTGTCGTGCAATTTGTTTATACAAAACAGAAAGTATGTCTCTCCCAACACACACAGACAGTGGTGGAGAAAGCTAAAGCTATCTGATAACTGAGGAAGGAGACACATTAGAAACTTCCTGACACAGAGAGACCTGTTTCTGTAACCTAAACCACCAAATGCCTAACGTCATACACCCTGACCCCAGCTACCCTTTCAAAGTGAGGACCCTCAGATAAAGTTCTGAATACTTATCTGCACTAACAGCACACCAGAAATACATACAAATGGTTTCATCTGCAAATTTAAAAAACAGTCATCACAAAAGTACTTCGCTTTTGTTTTAGCAAAGTGTTCCCTGTCACACAAACAGGGTCAAGAAGTCCAACACAAACACGTACACAACATGCCCTTATCTCTGACACACATGTGGCGGAGCACCTGGGACAGACTTGCTCACACACACGCACACACACACACACACACACAAACTCTTCCAGGAATAAACTTTCTGTACTTCAGTGCTTACAAGTCAACACTTTGTAAATCAGTAAAAGAGAGTCAATAATGAAAGGAGATTCACCTTATATAAAGTCTGCATGTTCATATATTATAAAAATAAGGAGAATATTATACCTTATACCCCAGTACAGTATTTAATTGTACATTCTGTTATCTTTTTTTAAGCCTTTGAATCTAGTGCATTGTAAAACCTTATATTTATCAAGTTTGTGGAATCAGTAGGTCTCACGAACACATAAGAACCTAAATTAGTGAGCATGCCCTCATGCAAAGGCTGGTATTTAACATATACTGGTCTTAAAGACCAGCCGTTTTCTATGCATCAATGCATCTACCTCCTGGGTTGTAAATCACATATCTAATTAGATGGACAGAATGGCGGGCTCTTCACTCACCGTGCAGTGCTATGGCCTCCCTGAAGGGCTGCAGGTCTGCCTCCACAGATGAGCCGGTCTCCGCTGGAGAGTTAGCCCGACTCGGGGCCACCATGGCCAGCCGGGTGTTGGTCCTGCTACTCCTGTGCGGTGGTGCTTTGCCGCACAGAAAGCTGATAAGATCCTCCCTGCGGATGGTTCTCCGTCGCTTCTTCACCCAGGCCAGCATGTCCTGCAATCCAATACAAGCGCAATCCGTCCTTAGGCAAGGTTTCATTTTATGATGCAATTTGTATCCCTCTTGAACACGCCTGCTGTGTACACCTAAAATAATCTAAAAGCACTGGTTCTTAAATTTCAAACAAATGTGACAGGAAGGGGTAGCATCACAATTTGTCCGGATGCAGGAGAAACAAGACCCACCTTATTACGGCGCTGGTGGCCTGTCTGGATGCCCCGATCAAAGGTTCTCTGATGGGCCTCCACGCTCTCTGAGATGGTAAAAAAAACACAATATAAAAATAATTAGAATTTTTCATTATCATGTGTTGGAACGCCAAGCAGATAATGACACCTTAAATAACATACAGCTTGAAAATATGTTTGGCATAGGAACATGCATCATGGGTTATGGTGTACATACTTTTATTTCTATACATTTTTGGGGAAAACATAATAGGAAAATCACATTACTTTTGAAAGAAACAGCAAATTACTTCTGGAAGTTGCTCACTCCCTAAAGCTAAATTCTACCCTCTTCCAGGTTTTGGAAGGTAAACTGCCAAATTGGGAGTCAAGTCCAGTACAATCTCATTCTTACTACAACAAACCGCCTCCCTTTTACTGGTAATTTCCTTAAATTGTTATACAATTTTTGTTTTAAATAAGGTCTATTTTTCATCTATCCCTACAGTGAACATGACACACAGACATACCAAAGACCTGCAAGCCCTGTGAGAGACAGATCAATAGAGCGGATAAGAGTGTAGGTCTGTTTACCACTTGTTGGATGAGCCCGTCAATAAAACATGTCTGCATTTACAAGTACAATGATAGTCAGCAACAATCTGTATTGATAAAATGAAAGCACACAAACAACTGTAGGTGTAGTAGTTAGCAGATCGATATATATTGCCCAATAGCACGAGTATGGAGAGATGTGGTTATATAGTTACCTTTGTAGAGGTTGGTGACTGCTGTGGCAGAGTTCTGAAATGGCACCCACAATGACAGGCCCTGCTGATGGCATACTCTGTCTGTGTCGGAAAGGGGAAATATGTTTAGTTTCTATACATAACACACATGTGAAAGAAAGCAGTCTGGATAAATGTGACCAAAAAAAGGACAACAAAACATTTGAGAGGCTTGGTGATTACAGGGTTGAAGTGGAGATCATTTTCATTCGCCATTTTGTCCTGCTTCTAAAATTGCAGGGACATGGTTTGTCATAAAAATAACTGTCAGCCAGCGCTAGATGGCCAGCTTGGCAGCAGCTTATTTAGCAAGAAAGCACCGACACACCAACTTAACTGCATCATCAGCAGTAAAGTTGCTATGTCAAACATACATGTCAAACACGGATTCACTTAACAAGCTCTGACATAATGGACAGGAATGTAGTATGTTTGATGGTAACTTAACGATAGCATATTGCTCACAAACCAATATTTCCACAGAATACAATCCTCGCCATTTTGTGATTATTACGCGTTGCTAAACAAACTGCTCGATCAGCAGCAAACCGAGCGTTTAAGAACAAGAGTGCATGTACGTGCCGTTAACTCTATATACTATAATAGCATATTTCAACAGTCAGTCATGTCCGGTGGAACAGATGGTAACACTGACAGTAAACCAGAGACTGTCATCTGGGAATGTCGCGTAGCTACGATTGTTGTTACCATCGCCATTTTGTATCTAGCCCGGCTAACGTTAGCTTTCTTCTGGTGACTAAACTTCAACAAGCCGTCGAATTGTGAAATATATTCATGTTGAGATAATTTAATTATGCCAGTAAAAATGATAGTTGTTTGACAATATAACCAGGTTTTGTAACTATTTTATGTCACTGGCTAACAGCTAGCTAAATTTAGCCTTTGCCAAATCAGCTGTAAACGTTACCCAGTTTTGACCAGAGTTTTCTAGCAGGCTAGTTAGCATTCTACGTTAGTTCACAGTAACGCGTAATTAGCCAGGATGCTAACAAACAAGCTAAATGCTAACTAGCAATGTTAGCCTAGTTGGACCAACTACAGGCAAAAAGAAAGCGCTGGTATGCACCTTTATATAACTGTGCCACGGCGGTGGCGGAGTTCTGGAAGAGATGCCACAGTTTATCCTGGTCGTTGTCGGCCTCCTCCTCGCTCGGCTCCCTCTGCTCCGCTTCGGCCAAACACTGCCGCTCCCATTTTGAGAACCAGTGCTCGGGTCCGTGTTCCTGTATCTCCGAGTCTCCGTCTTCCTTCTTCTCCTCCATTTAATGCACCAAAACAGGAGTTAGATGCTCCTTTTTATATATTAAACTATTAATATCGGGCCCTATATGAATAATTATTTGAGTAAATTCATGAATGCTGTTTGATTTGTAATAGTTTGCCCCTACAATACAGCGTTGCTCTCTGGCCCCACTACCATCTGTGAAGATAAGCTCAGCTAACTATTTTTCCTGGTAGCCGACGTTGTGATATATACAACGCAGACTATCTTGTTGTGCGCTTTAGCCCGCCCATTGTATCATATCTCGACTATGATTGGTCATATGAACACTGCAGGGCGGGCTTGAAAGCTTTATTTCGAATCTTATTGGCTCACGGACACGTCGCTCAAAGCATTGACACAAAAGAACCACAGTGAAAATTCCTCACAAGCTTGCGAGAGAGAGCAAGTTGTGTCGTGAAAAATCTGCACTGTTTGAATAAAAACAAAATATATGATCATATGTTTTGAAAAGTGCTTTATAAATACTGTTTTGTAATCAACTGTATTATTTTATCCTTCTTAGTGTATTTTCTTTCACTTTCTAATGAATTCTGAACCCACAAGCTGGGAAAGGACATTATATTAACCATATAAACGTTTTCCGACAACAGCTAATTGAAGGCCTCTAATATTAGGGGCGACACCTTATTTATACAGTTATATATATACTATAATATGGGCGACTCACATGAACCCTCTACAAGTCCATATATGACTCTCATGATAATTTACCTACAAAACCATTTTTGACCTGCTCAAATGGAGAAAAAAATGATAAGAAAAATAATTAATATGTTATGCACACCAATTTAACAAATAAAAAGGAAATTACATAAACGAGAGGAAGTCAGTGATCATAAAAAGCCTAACTGCGACGGGTATTGTGACATGGTGTAATATTGTTTTTAACCACTGCATGGTGCAATTTACTCAAATATGAGAATGCATGTCTATTACAGCAAAGCACCTTCTGGTTACAGCAATACAGATTTGGATTGCTAAGTATTATGAAAATGATGAACACTGCCTTGCTTATGTGATATTTCATGATAGGCAGTAGGTTGTCCTCCAAAATGGTCACACCCAATGATATACACGTTTGCACGGTTACAAGTAAGAAAAGTGACATTATTGTAAGCCTTTTTTAAATATGTTTTTTTATCTTTGATTTCACTTAATTGGCTTAATTGTTTAACCGTTGTAATAACTTATATTGCTGTATACTTTTTGTTGTTGTTGATCTAAATTAAAAGCTTACAATGATAATGTAACCTTGTCTTAATGCAACCTTGAGAATCACGAATCAGGTTTAGGAGGAAATAAAAATGTAAATGAAATAAATGTACAATAAAAGTACATACAAATAAATGAGGTTACACAATGTGTAGACGCCACAAAGCAGCAATGGGCTACCATACACTGAATGCAGGGCCCCTGGAGTGGAAAGTTGCTAATTGAAATGCTATACCATTAACATACAAATAATGCATTGAAGTAAAAACAAAAAGCACAATTATTTTTTCTTCGATAAGTCTCCTGTTAATTGATAAAGTGTGGTTTTTATTAGTTAGTTTAATAGGCAATAGATGATCCAGTTCGGTAGGACTGTTTTTCTTCATTGCCCAAATGTCAATATAAAATGTGCAGGAATAACTATTTATTCAACACCGTTTCATAACAAATGTTTTAAAGTTAAAACAAATATTAATGTTATTCTTTTTTTTACTATGTTAAAGTATTTTTGTGGAAGAAATAGTACGATATGAAATTAATTGAGTACACTTAATTACTTATTTAATTACTATTGAAATATTGCTTTCTGTTCAAGCCATTGTAAATCACTGATTTGGGCTCCAATGCAAGTCATAAATATGCTAGGCCCTGAATTGTCATTCTTATAACTTCATTTAATTTTTAATTGTTGTTGTTGCACTAATATGTTATTCTCCTGTACCAGATCCCGTCCATTTATAACATGGATGTGAACCTGGCCGGGGATGGGCCATGGTGTTTGGATCTCCATGCGGATGTGACATTACAGAGAAGAGCGCGACCGCCATTTTGAGATTTACCTCAGACTCAACACATCACAAACCACGGGAGGAGCGATTTAGAAGAGAGCCACTCAGGTTAACGTTGTATGACCGGGCACATTCCTCACAAGAAACAAGAGGGTTAGCTTAGAAATGCAACCAGGTGCCGTGTTTTTTCGTGCATTGTGTTAGGTTAAGGGGCGGTTTGCGTGGATTTGGTTTATGTCGGGCCGTGCGGGCAACTCTCGTCTCCGCGAACTTCCAAATCAACACTAGTATTGGAAACTGGTTTGAATGGATAGCTCTTTCCTCCGTTCTTCCCCAGACGAGGGACAATCGGAGGAGCACACGGATTGGGGATATCGCAGATAAAGTTGTTGAATGTGTGTTAATAGCAAATGAACCGTTGTTTTCATTGTTGTTGTACCTATATCACCAGTTGGCTGCCTAGTGTCAGGTAGCTTAGCAATAAACAGGGTATTTGTTCCTCACGGTGCAGGTCGTGCTGTGCGTTGTCCCCACATTTCCCGGGGTAAAGCCGGATTGATTTAGCTAATTTAACGGGCCTCCCCTCCTCGGAGCTCCGGCCCATCAATCCCCGTCAACCCACAGCGACTAGCACCCACCAAAGGCGCCGAGATTGGGCGAATAGCGAGCAAATACGTCCGCGTTTCTCTACCCGCTCCCCCGCCGACCTCCCCTCCTCACTCCCCGGCGCTGACAGCGGACAAGGCCGAGGTCGCGACAGAGCAGGCCCGGCCGCCAAGGCTCGACCTGTCCACCCCACCTCCGCATCCTACCACGCCTCACCAGCAGTCCAGAACTCGGTTCCCCCCAGAGCCGACCCTAGACAAGGTCGAGGGTAACAGAGATAGCAGGGAGCCCCGCATCACCACAACAACAACAGCTGCCAACATGAACCACCACCATCACCACACGCAGCAGCAGCAGCAACAGAAAGCCGGCGAGCAGCAGCTCAGCGAACCGGAGGACATGGAGATGGAAGGTGAGTTATGGTCCATAGAAGGGTGAACGAACACTTTAAACCCTTAATTTAACTGTTGCACGAGAAATGCATGAAGTGGAAATTGTGAACGCAGAGCTCAACTTTACAGTAAACACGAAGGCCCGATGCTAGCTAGGATAGCCAGCTGCATTTTTTGCTGATTGTGCGTCCGTTGCAGCATACTTGTGTGGAGCTGACCTCATTTTGCGTTATAAGCTAACGGGGCTTGTTTTTCATCTCCGTATTATTGCAATATTCACATGCTGGTCGATAACCCACAATTAGCTGTTCAAAAACACTGTTAAACATAACATACACAAAAAAAAATCAATTTGCATCTGTGCGAATTGTTTTGTTCACGATCGGTCGCTGTGACAAGTTCTCTCCGATGCAGTTTGCCAAATCATCGCAGTTTAGAATCAACATGCAGTCACAGAACTCCAGGCCCGTTGATTGTTGATAACTTAACGTTTAATGTTTGTAAACACCGCAATTAAACCGGAACCATCGCTAGGTAAATTAAATCTTGCTACTTTGACGTATTGTGGTTGATTTGGACAGATATCGGCACCTGCGTTTCTCATCTACGTTGTTTACTACGTGAACAGAATGTTATTTTCTATGCTAACGCATTACTTAAAACATAGCCCGTTAATAACCGTTATGCGTGAAACGTTAAGCCATCTTTTCTAAATGACAGTGTGTTAGCATCGTGTCTGATGGCGTTAAATGCGGGCCTGCAAACAAACGAAAGCGCATACTGTGTACATTCTTATTTCAGTGTGATTCTTAAAATGCTATTTCAGTACATTTGTCTGGCTTATATGTTTTGACCATAGGCGAAATACGGACATCGACGCGTATTTGTTTTATTGCTCAATGTTTTCATTAAACTGGCAAGAGGGAATGTACATTGCTAGCGAGACAGCTAATTTTAAGCTAGCCAATTAGCTCCAACCCCCATTTTTTTACTGTCATTTGCTGGCTAGCATGCTAGTTAGCTGATCGGCTAACACTCACGGAGGGGGTGTGTGGCGATCCAAAATGGTGGCTTGTATTTTGCAATGTTCGATTTGGTTGTTAGGCCTTGCATATTTGCCTCACGTAATCTAGATGTTCCTGTTGTCTCTATTGGCTGTTGAACGATATAAAAAACGCACTTTGTCATACCTTTTCGCTAGCATTAATTATATCTCGCTGCGGGTATTGTGAATCCAGCAAATGTCGGCTAATAACGGCCTGCAGATTAATATGAGGCTAGTGTTTGCTAGGTAGCTAAGTGGCTAACGCTAACGCAGATACGTCGATCGTGATTTGCTAAATTGACTGCGTGGTATAACAAGTTTAGCCTTGCCAGTAGGGCATATGACAATCTGTATGATTTACTTTAAATTATGTGGTGGTTTTGGAGTTTGTTAAATTATATGTTGACGTTTGACAGTGTATTATGTGAAGCGGGTGGCAGTGCTGGCAAGTAACGGTAGTCGCCGCTGCGGTAAGCCAGGCCCGCGCGGGGATTTGCTGCTTCATTGTATCGACGACCAAACGGCATGGAGCTCGCCATTTTTAATGATCTGTGTTTTTGTTATACAGCTTTGTAGCCAGGGCCACCTATGTTAGCGTTTGGTAGGCACTTTAGACACACAGAACACCCGCACCATCACATTTTACAAAGTTTTATTTTTTATTAATGTCAGCTTTGGACTGAGTAGAGGCTTGAGGGAGACTTCAGCATCACTGCGTCATTTGGTCCTAGTGATTTTATGATCTGTTTGTAAACCACATTGTTGCTTGTTATTAGGTTACACTGTAAATATCTTATCTTATTTAATTACAGAATTTATCAAGTACACACTGTCCTATGTGCTTTTTACATTTTGAATTAGTAATTTTTATACGTTTCTTACTAGTAGCAGGTGCACTCGCCCCTTAGTTGCTGGTTCACCCCTGTTGGATTAATTCCAAGTGAATTGCAGCCTTACAAGGACAGTGAAAACAAGTTGACAAAATAAACTCCTCGCTTTTTTTCCGGCTGCCTATAGATAAACATACCACTATTTCATGGGTTGATTGTTTATACAGTTGCAGTGGGGTTAATCCATCATATTCTCTGCATATCTCAGTCATTTTATCTGTTTTGC